TAGTGATTTCTCTCGTCGCTGGGAATGGCCTCTGCAGCTCCTTGGTTTCTTCAAGGGGAATCCAACCTGCAGCCTGACAAGGACAAGGAGACTCATGGCCCAGTCCCCATCCCAGACACTCCTCGGAGACTTTTCTTCTGCTGCAGCAATTCAGCTTGTGGGAGGAGGGACAAGCTCACACAGTCTCTCTCACGGGGCGTCTGTGGAGCAGCGTTCTGTCGATGCCCTTGTCGATCCAGGAGCCGCTCCAAGGCCTCCTCTGTGATGTTGTGGAAATCACCCATTTCACCTTTGACTCCAGTCTGGGGGCACTGTGTTACGGTGTGTACGAAGGTTTGGATATTCTCTCCACAGTTGTGAGACGGGGGGCGGAGGGGTGGGGTTGATATCTTTGATTTTCTACTTGTGCAGCAAGTAGCCGCAACTTGGGTCAGTGACAATGTGTTTCTTTGGAACAGTGGCTGAGGTCCAGATACGCTGCCATTCCCTGGCCAGATCTGGAGACATGAGGGGGGGGGCGCATGTGGTCCATATTGGCTCTGGAGCTCACTATGTCCAAGACACCCAGAGCCATAATCCTATATTAACTCACCCACCCGGGGATCCTCCTTATGCCACGGAGCAATGCATCCATGTAAGACACTCAAATCACGGCAACTAGCGAGGTTCCAATGTGGGACCTTTAGCACCAGCCTGTCCCACTGGTTGCTGGATGAGGAGCTCTGAGCTGGAAATAAGGAGCGGGCTCTTTTCCTGTCTCCAGGAGGCATCCACTGCAGGGAACCCAGCCAGCCCCACTCCCCGGGCTGTGTCATGCCCTGGCACAGTGCCCTTACCTCCCCCACTCTGGCTGTGTTCTTGTAGCCCAAGAGCCTTCTGTCCTGGTGCCAGTCATAGCACCAGAGATCCTCCACGTCATGTATGGTCAGGCCTGGAAGAGAGAGAGAGAGAGAGAGACTTTTCTCCTCATTCTGGTTGCAGTTTCTGTGTCCTTCCAATCCCATTGGTGGCTGCACAGTGGAGTGGAGAAGAACAGAGGCAGAGAGAGACTTGTCCTCCAGCTGGGGTCAGTGTGAGAGAAATGGTCTGGGGTCCCATTATCCACCTGTGGTCACTCTCAGTCCCCTATTGGGTTCCGTGTCCCAGCTGGGTTCCTTACCCCTCTGTTGGAGCAGCAGCTGGTAGAGCCGGTAAGTCCCCTCCCTGGCCTGCCGGCTGATGTCCTTGTCTGGATCGCTGACAAACAGAGCCAGCTGGGCCACATGGTGCCCCATCCTGGGGAACTCGGCAGAGATCTAATGGAAGGGAGAGGAGAGGGGACTCCATCAGCATTTTCCTGTTAGCTCCCTGTCCCCCCTGGGCCAGAGGGCTCCTTCCCCTTAGCCCCTCTGCAGGAGATGCTGGGGGAGAGGAGCTTGAGATCGACCCTTCATTTGCTCTGCTGCCAAGGGAGCCCGCAGCTGTTTTGGGATGCCAAGCAGGGGCTGGAGCATGGTCCCCTTAAAGGCCCAGGGACAACACTGAACCAGGACAAGAAGAACTTGACTCAAGCCGAGCTCAGTCCCTGCTCTGACCCTGCCTCCCCAGGAAGAACCCTCCTAAGCCACAGCCCCGGCAGCTGCAGATCCTGTAGCCTGCCGGAGCCAGCCCGCCTCCGCCTGGAGCCAGCAAGCTGGGGTCGGAGGTCACTTACGTCAAACTCAGGGAGGGTGACTGTGTATCTGAGCAGGGCTGTGCTGCTCCTGATAGCCCTGGCTCGCTCCTGGGACACCCTGGACACGACCCAGAAGTTGACATGCTGTGGGGAAAGGAGGCAGGTCAGACTCAATGGCCAGCTGCACCTGCTTTGCAAATGAGCCCCCCACGCCCCCAGCCCCACGGGCCTGAGACATTCTGCGCAGGGGGGAATAGCTGAGGCCTTGCTGGCAGAGCTTTAGAAGGGGATTCTTTCCCCCAGGACACAGCTTGTACCCTGCAGGTCACAACTTGTCAGCGTCTCTCTAGATTGGGACAATGTTTGGGGTCGGGGCTGGTCCCCTCCTCCCAGAACTCCTGATTCCTGAACAGTTCACCAGAAAGGAGACGGAACCCTCCCCCTTCCCTGCTACGCAAATCCTTGGGGGGGTGTAGGGAGTGACTGAGAACACAATCCCCCCAGAAATTTCAGAGCAGATCAGAGGGAAGGGCTGATTCGCTGGGCTCCTCCTGTTTCTCTAGGAAGGAGCGTGTGCCTCTTCTCTGAGAACCATCTCCCAAATCTCATGGGGTGTGTGTGTTGGAGGGGTGGGGGAAGGGTGGGTTTTCAGACTCTCACTCCCCAAGACAGCCAGGAGCCCTGTGGTTAGTGCTCAGCAGAACCAGGCAGAGCTCTGGCTTGAAGTCCCAGCTCCTTCCTCTGTCCCTCAAGAAGGAAGGACCTGACACTGCATTGCACTGACCGCCCCAACCAAGGACGGCCCACTGGGGACCCAGCTAGGAGGACACAGTAGAAAATGGATCTTCCAGTCTCTCCTTACCAGTCCCCCAAAGAGTTGAGGTAAAACGGGGCTCACCTCCAAGATGAAGTGGAGCCTGTCTGTGTCTGGGGACTCTGCCAGCAGATTCCCCAGCATGGCACCCAGGACCTCTGCGATGACTTTGTGCAGAGCCTGCAAAGCATGGGTCAGAGTTAGGGAACCTGAGCCTACACCTGCCACAGGATGGGAAGAGGGGTCTCTGGGAAGCACTGGGGAGACTCCCAAACACATCTCCTGGCTTCTCTCCTTCACATCCCACTGCAGGCAATTCACAAGAATTGATGACCCCTGGACCTTTGATCCATGAGCTTAGCAGGTCTCTGCAGAGGGCCTTGTAGGCAGAAGAGTATGAAACAGCCAAGTTGCTATGGATGGAGGCTGGGCTTCTGGGCAAAACACGGCTTATGGAAGAAAGAAAGAAAGAAAGAAAGAAAGAAAGAAAGAAAGAAAGAAAGAAAGAAAGAAATCCCCCAGAGAGGGGTAATCTCTTCCCTGCTGGAGGGAAGGATCCAACCCTGCAGCTTGTTCCATCTCCGCTACCCCACCCCTAAATCTGGAGCTCCAGCGAATCAAGGGAGCAGGACCAAGGAGCACTCTGGAAGAGGAGGAGGATGGAGGAGGAGGAGGTACCTGGATGTCGGTGGTGTCCTTGTCCGTGCCCAGGGTGAAGACGGAGTGAAGGGCAGCTCGCAAGAGGTGGGTCTCTAGGGCTGGCTCCAGGGCAGGTTTCATGGTGCTGGCAAGAGAGAGGAGCTGGTATTAGACTGTGCAGTACGGGGGTGGGACTGTGGTCAACATGGACACCAACCCACAGGGATATAGGCACAGGCTGGTGAGATTGGAAACTGAGGCACTGAGCTCGGGAATGACAAGGCCAAGGCGTCCCAGATAGACAGTGGCAGGACAGGAATAGCTCCTGTTCCCTGGAGCCTGCGGCCCCTCCTGTATCTGAGCCCGGGAGTGAGCCCCTCCCCAAGGCCCCTGTCATGTGATGGGAGTGAAAAGAAGAGCCCCGCCAGGAGAGAGTGACCCTTCCCTCCCCACCATCTCTGCCAGAGATGCCACTCTTGGGAGGTGACCTGGGCGGGACAGTGATGGTGACTCCCAGCCTTGGGCCTGAGCAGCACTGGGGTGAGGGGAGCCGGCGGGGGGGGGGGTGGGGCTGTCTCGGTACCAGAGGTAGCCCACTGCAGCCAGGGAGTGGGCGAGGACGGCGCTGGGTGACGAGTCATCGGGAAGCTCCTCGATGAGCTCCTGTGAGAGGCGAAGGAGACAAAGGAGCGTGTGAGATTCAGGCCCGACTGACACCTCCCAGTGAGGAGATGACACAGCCAGTGCCCCACATGGCCAGCAGGATCCCCCACCACCTCCCGCTCCCCCGATTCCTTCCTGCCCATCCGACTTGTCCCCCTTCCCGGATTCCTGCCCAGCTCACTCCCAACCCCTTCTCTCCTCCTCCCTGTCAAAACTGCCCCCATTCAGCCCCATCCCAACGACCGAGCTGGGACCATGTGATTCCTTGTCCCCCTCTCTCAGCTGCCCTCCAGCCCCACAATTCCCCCCCTGCCCACTACCCACCAATCTCAGAATTTCTCCCAAGTCTTCAGCCCCAGCAATCCCTGCCCTCTGCTGCCCCCTCCAACACTACCCAGCCCCCACCCATTAGCCCGACCATACCCCTGCCAATCCCATGTCTCTCTCCTCCCGCCAGCTGCCGTATGGCGTGTCGAACTCACCACGATCCTCTTCACCACAGCCGCCTTGCAGCAGCGCGGCTCCAGCGTGTCCTCCCCTCTCTCCCGTGCAGCCAGACAGGCGGGGTAGATGGCCTGAAGGAACAGGAGCTGCTGCCCCTCATCCTGTACCCACCAGGAGTGGGGTATAGCGAGAGAGAACCTGTTAGCTAGGGACCTTCCTGCCCCACCCACACCAGCTCCAGGGCTCAGGCCTCAATGGGGGATTGTGGGGACCCGCCTATTCTCCAAATCCCCCACCACTCCTACACAAGCAGGATCAGGAACGGGGACAGTGCCTGTGGGGGGAGACGACCTCGGCTGTTGTGGGACAAACACCCCCATCTTGGGGGTCCCACATCATGGATGTAAAAGGGCTCCATTAGGGGTGGTGGATCAGGAGGGACAAGACCTTCGGCAGGGGGTGGGGATGCTGGGAAGGGACAGGGCAATCTTGATTCCAGCCCAGGTGGGGAACATTTGTACCTTATCTCTGCACTGGAGCTGCTCTCGGATGACCTTGAGAGCAGCTTCATCTTTGGCCACGTCCACCCCTTCCTCCTGCTCCGAATCCAGGGGGGTCCCTGCACCAGGGAGAGAAGGACAGGGGTGTGGTGGGCAGAGCAGGATTCAAGACCCCCCTTCCCACCTCAGGCCCCCAGGGCAGATGGGGCCCCAGACCTCCCTCTCAGGGATGCCTTCAGCCCCCAACAGCTGCCGAAGCCCAGAGCAGAGCCCCCCTCCCCTGCCCAGGACTCCAGCTCTTCACGCCCCCACCCCCAGGTCCCCGTGCGAAGGGGCAGCTGTGTGACGGCTGCTGCTGTCCGTGGGGTTCGCGGGGCTCAGGCCAGACACCTGGGCTGGGGACCCCCCCCCCGTATCCCTGGGAGAGCGTCTGGGCCCAGGGGGTTCACATCCCGTCCTCAGCCCTCCCGGAGCCCAGCCTGGCTCCTCACCTGGCACAAAGCCGTGGCCTCCATCGGCCTGGCTGCTGCCAGAGGCCCAGGTGCTGCCGCTGTCCCAGGCTGAGCTGCCGGTGCTGGGCCAGGGACCTTCCCCCTCCTGGCCGGCGGGGGCTGGAAGGGCCTCAGAGAGCGGGCAGGGCGAGGCCTCCTGATGGGAAGGAGGGCTGGGCTCCTGGGGCCGCTGCTGCCCACACAACCAGCCCCAGAGCCACCCTGCCCGGCGCCCCTCCTGGGCTGGGTCCTGTCTGCCGAACCGCAGCCTGGGCCAGCTCCACCGGGGCCTGGTCGGGGCCGCTCCCAGCTCGGCGCCTGCGCCGGGAGCCGGGGTCCTTTTCCAGAAGGCCGGGCACTTCCGCCGTCTGGGCTGGACGGGAGCTGCTTCCCCGCCAGCGGGGACGCAGGGCTTGCTCTGCCCCTCGGGAAGGCGGCAGCTGCTTCCCTCAGGCTCTGGGGCCACCGGCAGAGCCTTCCTCCGCAACATCCGCAGGAGCCTGGCCATCCTGGAACCGAGCGGGGAGCAGGGCTGAGTCTGGGCTCAAGGCAGCCTTTCACTCCTGGCCCTTTTCCGTCCCTCCTCCTCCCTGCTCCAACCACAGCCGCCCCCTCTGCCCCCACAGGAGTGCAGGGAGTGCCATCTACACACACGGGCAGGAGTTCATTGCATGATCTGCTCCCAACGTTCCCCCTCGTAATCCCTGCTGCTGCAATATCCAGGAAGTCTCATCCTTTTCCAGCAATGGGGTCAGTCCCAAAGACCATCGGTTACTCTGGACAAGCAGCCCCCTCCTCTTATCCCAGGCCATTCTCCCACCCAGGCTAGAGAAGGAAGAGAAACCAGGAGTCCCGACTTCTCCTGGGAAACCATTCCCCACGTCAAAGTCACAAAGACCCTAGGCACAGGAAGACCAGGGCCCTCCTCGTTGCCCATTGATTTCCATGCTCAGCAGCTCACAGGCTCTGGCCCAGCTCCGAGACTCTCAGCCTGGGGAACAGTGTCCCACAAGGGAAGGGCTGGGAGCCCCATTGCTGGAACCTTTCCAAACACACTGGAGACGGCTCTGGAGAAGCCCCTGCCCGGTCTAAGAGTGAGGAGCTCTTGGGGGCTGTTTGCAAATGAAATCCCCCTTTGGAGATATCCTCTCCCCCTCTTTCTGCCTCTCCCCACACAGACAGGGGAAGCCACCGAGGAACCCGAATGCCACTCACTTGCTCTCAGTGATGGTACGATGGATGGCGGATGTTCAGGGTGAGCAGACGTCCCTCGCCCTCCTCCTCACTCCCCAAGCCCAAGGCAGGCTGGAGAGGGTGGTGACCTCAGGAGTTACCCTGCCCAGCCAGCAGGCAGGGTGATGACACGAGGGCGATCGACTGGCTGTGAAAACAAGTGTCTGTCTTATTGCCAAGGGAGGGAGAAACTCAGCCAGCAGCAGGGGGGTGCAGAACACGGCCCTAGGGCGGAGGTGACAACGCCTGCAGGATCCTGACATCCCAGCACTTCCAGAGCCCAGGAAATAAGGTGTGAACATTTTCATGGAAACCGTTTTCTGTCAGAAAATCCATTCAGACGAAACCACTTTGTTTCTTGAAATCATAACAAGTAGGATGAAAATTCTTTGCAAAAAGATTTGTTTGCAAAACAAGAGCATCTCCAGTTTGTCAGAGCGCATTAAACTGTCTCGTCGTACACAAAGGGGAGACACTATGATCTAGAACATTAGATGAGATGCTTCAGGCTGAGCTAAGTAGTTGCTGCTCTTCACAATTTCAAAATAATAAAATGCAAATGAAATCGAATATTTGCTCATAATCTGCTATGGCTCAGTGTGGTAGGAACCCCCTAGTCTGCACTGCTCCGAGTGACACTCTTCAGTGGATCCCCATCACCCACCCATGGCGAGGTAGGTGGGAGAGGATTGTTATTGCTCCTTGACAGAAGGAGAAACGAAGGCTGAGAAAGGTGCAGGGACTTGTCTTAGCTGATGCAGTTGCTCTCAAATGAGCTATAGACCAACAATTCTTCATCGTAATTATTCAGCAAGTATTTCAGAAGAATTGGAATGTTCGAGAGGATCATGAACTGCTCTGAGACAATGAATGGAGAGCAGCATCCACATTGGTCAAACATCTAACTGGTTGTGACTTATTTGCTTGGTCATAAAAGAGAACAAGAAAGACCAGAGTTTCCTCCCTGTCAATAGCCCCCTCCTCAGCCAATCAAGGTTGACACTTTGAGGGGTGGGAGGCTAAGGGGTCTCACCAAATACCCCAAAGAATGGCCCTGGTCACCCCCGAGGGGATCACTCTTGGAGCACTAGTCCAGTCTCACCTCTCTGTGAGGGCCTCCCACAATCCCCACCCCCACTCCCCCCCCCTCACCCCCGCTCCAGACACACAGCTCCTGGTGGTGGGAGGAGAGCAGAGGAAAAGGACAAAGGAAGCAAAAAGAGAAAGGTAGGAGAGACAGAGCAAAAGGGAAAACAAAAAGGAGAAACCCCAATGTCCCCAGTGATTCTAAGGGACAAAGTCCTAGGTCGGAAATAAAATGCTGCCCCCACAATCTAGTGTTTTCCTTTCCTAAAAATCAGCCGGCACCTGATGGATCAGACTGAACAGGTTCCAAACCTCTCCGAGGCTCTTACCTTCTCTAGAGGGACGTCTGTTTTCGAGCAAAACCACGAAAAGAAAAGGAGAAAACTCCAAAGAGGGTCCTCCTTGCGCTCACGTACGTGAAAGGGAATGCTCTCTCAGTCCTCCAGGAGAGACCTCGAGAAGGAGACGTGCTGAAGCAAAGCCACAGGGATCTCCGAGGTTGCCCCTGTCCTGCACCCCTGTCCTGCCTGGCTGATGTCAAGATCTCTCTGTGAGGTCATCGCCTCCCCACCATCTTTGTCCAATAGGCTGAGGTCCTGCCAAAGGCCCTTGTGATGTCACTGCCACACCCACCCCTCCCCTGCAGTGCTGATGTCCTGCCCCTGTCCAGCCACACCGGATGTTTAAGCTGCTTCCCCTGGATCACCCCACGCAATGAGCGTTCATTGTGGGCTCAAGCCGAACACAGTAAAACATCAGAGGCTTCTCCCCATGCAAAGCTCAGTTTTTCATAAATTAGCAGACTTTATGGACAGAAGAGACAATTAGAGTACGTCATCAGACCCCCTGCAAATCACATGCTTTCTGTAGAGAATAGTAGCTAGTTTTTGACTACACACGTTCCAGAAAGCCATCTCGTCTTCATTAGAAGACATCAAGAGGTGGGGAATTCCACCACTTCCCTTTCTAGTTTGTTCCTTTGGTGATTCATTCTCAGTGTTGAATATGTGTGCCCTCTTTCTCATATGAATTGGTCTCTTTTGAGTTGCCAGCCACTGCGTCTTGTTACGCTTTTCTCTGCTAGATCAATGAGCCCTTTAATACCCGATAGTTTCTCTTCATGAAGTCACTTCAACACTTCAGTGACGTCACCTCCCGATCTTTTTTATCACCTAAACAGGCTGAGCTCTTTCAATAGCTCACTCGCAGGCATTTCTCTCCAGCCCTCAAAATATTTCATTGCTTTTTGCTGCCACATCTCCAATATTTCCAAATCTTTTTCAAAGGTGGACGCCAAAACTGGATGCAGGATTCCATGATCAGTCTTCCTCATGGTGTGTCACCTCCCTCTGCTCCTCACTGCTCTTTTCATACATCTAATGATGGCTTTAGCCCCGTTCACCACAGCATCACCCTGGGTGCTCATGTTGAATGGCTTGCCCAGCATGGCCCCGAAATCCTCTTCACAGTCAGTGCTTTCCTGGATACACTGCCCCATTCTGTAGGTGTGGCCTGCATGCTTTGTTGCTGGCGATAGGACCCTTCCTTTGGTTCTTTTCAAACTTGTTTTCTTTGAATGGGTCCAGCTTCTCAAGGGATCCGATTACTCTGTGTCACTGCCCTCTCCTCATCATTAATTACCACTCTGCTACGATTTTATCACCCACCAATGTTAGCAGCAGTGATTCTTATTTGGGTTGCAGTTCATTGATATTTATTTTCAAGTATTAGTCCTTGAGAGCCTCTTCATATCCCTAGTGCCCAGAACCTGCTCCTCACAGCACAGCGAGAAAAGGCCGCCCAGCCCAGCTGTGCCATAGGGGCTAAGCACAGAACTAACTTCGGAGCTTGTGCCATCCATAGCTTCTGAACAACATGTGGGGGTCATCAGCTTAGAAATACACTCTAGACCGGTAGCGTAGACAGGCCCCAAATATATCTAAGTGTCCCGCCTTGAAAAAGAGGAGAGAAGAAAACATAACCCTGAGTAGTGTTATTTTATAGTCGTGGAAACTGAGGCACAGAGAAGCAAAGAGATTCGCTCATGGTCAAAAAGCCAGGAATAGAAAACGGCAGATCTGCTGATAGTCAGTCCTGGCCCCTAGCCGTGTTTGTCCTGGCCTCTCTGCTTCAGCTCCAGTGACAACCCGAGTCGAGGTTTTCTTCTTTTCCGTGTCCTTTAACTTCACGTCACTGCAGAAGAAAGATTGTTTCTGACCAGCTGGCTCTAATGCATGGAGATGTCTTTCCGGAAGACGTGCTCTGGCTCAGTCCCATGTCGTAGGTTTCCTGGAGGAAGCGCTCGGTGCCGTTCTAGGGCCTGTGTTACACAGAAGATGGACAGAATGGTCCTTTCTGACCTTCATTTTTTTCTTTCGCTCGGAGGATAACGCTGGACATTTTCTCTCATTCACTTTCCTTTGGAATAATTTCAATCCAGTCCAAAGGATTTCCTCTTCCGTTGTGTCTTCAGCACCTTTCCTAGCAAACAGTTACTGTTCGAGCCCAGGTTTCCAGTTTCAGGCTGTCCCAGGGTGAGATGGCCATGAAAGGGGGAGTAGCTGAACTGAACCTCTCCCCAGGTGAAGGGAATAAGTGCAGCGGTCACGTGAGAAGGAGCAGCATGTAACTAGGATCCAGGCCCGTTGGGTGATATAAGAACAGCCTGTGCTCAGCCAGGAGAGAGACCCGCAATGGGAGCAGGCCTGGGAGAGGCTTGGATAGTCCTTTCAAGGCAGTTTGGGTACACAGTAGGGGATGGAACAGCCAAGCTGCTAGGGTTGGGAGCTGGGCCTCCTGGCCGTGTCCAGGAACGAAAGCACAGCATCTGCCAGGAAGGGAGTCCCCACAGAGGGACACCGTAATCTCCCAGGGAGGGAAAAGGCTCTGACTGCCATTTCTTAACCTCAGGGGTGTTCTCCTGCTCTGCCAACCCCACCTGTATTTCAGCATCTCCAGATGCCTGAAGGTATCCTCAGACGTGCAGAACACAACGCCATCCACAGCCTCAGAAACAGCTCAGACATCATAATCAAAAAGGCTGACAAAGGAGGTGCTGTCGTCATCATGAATAGGTCGGAATATGAACAAGAGGCTGCTCGGCAGCTCTCCAACACCACTTTCTACAAGCCATTATCCTCTGATCCCACTGAGAGTTACCAAAAGAAACGACACCATCTGCTCAAGAAACTCCCTGAAAAAGCACAAGAACAAATCTGCACAGACACACCCCTAGAGCCCCAACCAGGGGTCTTCTATCTGCTACCCAAGATCCATAAACATGGAAATCCTGGATGCCCCTTCATCTGAGGCATTGGCATCCTGACAGCAGGATTGTCTGGTTCTGTAGACTCTCTCCTCAGGCCCTACGCTACCAGCACTCCCAGCTACCACTTCAATCTCTCTGGTCACTCTCCAAGGAACTCCCCACTCCGAGACACTGTGGCCTGTAAATGCAGGTGGGGAATTAATTACTGACCTCGGTGGCGTTCAGACTATGTCCTGAAGCATGGGATTGGGCCAGAGGGACAGCTAGCGCTGGCCACAGTGTCTCGGGTCTCGGAGTGGGAAGTTCCTTGGAGAATTGCACTGGGTGGGAGACTCAGCTGTGAAGGGAGGGGGCGGGCAGGAGCATCTCATCAACCCAAGATTGGAATAACTGAAGTAATGTTCCTTTTACACGGAGCCTCAGCTCCTTGGAACCTCTGCAAACGCTTTAGCCACGTGTTTAACTCCATCCGTAGGAGTAGCCTTGGATGGCAGTGGGAGGGCTCAGGTGTGTAAATGTTTGCAGGATGGGCGCTCAGGGCAGTCCCTGACGCCAGGGCAAAGTGGGTGTGAAGAGCCACTGTCTGGATTTGGGAGCCTGCCTGCACACCGAACTCACTCGGTGCTGGGTGCATGACTGCAAGGCGCTGGGCCGGGGAAAATCAGCCCCGGGTGGTTATTTTGAGTAGAAAACCAGAGCCACTTCTGGGGTCTTTCAGCTTCTAATGCCCTTTCCCTTCTGCAGCTGGATTTCAGCGTACGATAAAATCCCTCTCAATGCCACGTCACTGCCATAAATCACTGGACTGGGTGCAGGAATCAGTAGGCGACGTTCTCTGGCCTGGGTTATGCCAGGGCTCAGACTAAATGATTGTTCCCAAAACTTTTAAAAGCTGAGCCCCCTCCTCAAGGCAAAGAAACCAATCGTGCCCCTCACCCGTCAGCAATGTGTTAGCGACCCCACCCCCCATTTTCATGGATACATCTTCAAACCCCACCCTTCCCACCAGGGCTAGCCCTTCCCCACGCTTCAGGAGACGCTGGAGTAGATGATCCTAACCGTCCCCTCTAACCTTAAGACCTGAGGGACCCCATCCTGGAGCATCTTAAAAATCCCAGTTCCCAGACTCTGGAACAGGGGCTGCTTTGCCGGGCTCACCTTTCTCCCTCCGTCAGGTTGGCCGATGGGGATAATGAGCCTGGAGATCTCATTCCCGCTGCTCTGAGTGCTGCCCATGTGCGCACGACCCAACTCAGCTCTTCCTGTATCCCAGGAACGTCTTCATCTTCTGGGATCCTCATGGGAGCAGTGGGATGATTTAACGGACTCCCTTAGTCATGGGGCCTTTCTCTCTCTTTTTTTGTTTCAGAGCCAGCGTCCTGGAATCGTCTCCTGGTGCGTGGAGTGGTGGCAGTGGTGGGGGAGCTAGTCTCACTATACCGATGTGGGTTTTGGAAAGGTAGGGGGAAAGTGTTTGCCTACTCGTGACTCGTCTTCAGGAAGCTGCTGACTCATCCCTCCCAGCAGCCTGGAAGTCCGCAGGATTCACAGGAATCTGAGCTCCCCGCAGTGTGTGACAGGGACGGGGACCAGGCCCAGGGGACCAGAAACAGGAATCGAGACCAGCCCTGGAGAATGGTGAAGGAGACCTGCTCATGGAGGACAGACGCTTCTCCCAGGAACCCAGAGGAAGGGATCCATTAAGTGGGGACACGGGTGTGGCCCAGGAAACTGGAGTAGCATTGCCAATCCTCCAGGGTGACCGGGAGTCTGCAGGAATTCAAGATTAATTTTTAATTAATCCCTCTTACGGTGCCCCTCAATGGTGGGGACTAGACTGGGCGAAACTTTTCATCTAAACCAATTTTAGGTGAAAAATGCAGATTCAGCAGTTTGCGAATTGGTATCCGTTCTGCTGAATTGTTCACATCCAGCCCCTCCCCCCAGTTCTTAACAAGTCAAAGCATTTCGTTTAGACACTTTCCAAACAAACTATTTTGATTTTTCAGCTTGAAACAATTTTTTGTTTAAAAATGTCCTTCAATTTTATTTTAAAAATTCAAAAAGTTACAACCCTTGAAATGTTCCTGGGTTTTGTTTTATTTTTAAGCTTTTTGGTTCATGAAAAATTTGGAAAAAATTTAGTTTTGTTCAACCTGAAACCAGTTTTTTTCCATCTCTTTTTTTGGAATTGCCAGCGACCAAAAACTTCTGTTTGCCCAGCTCCAGGGGCGGGTGAGGATTTTAGCGATAATAGTGTGGGTCTCTGAGTCTCCTTGTTGCTCAAAGTTTTCTTACTGTTACAAATGAATTTGGGATGAGGGCAGGATGGGCAAGAGATTCCTAAAAGTGGGGGGGCTGATGGCACCCAAACTGTAGCCCAGCCCCTGTGCCACCCCTTCTCCTCGAGGTCCGGCCCCCTCAAACCGCCCCTTACCCTGAGGCCCCCCCTCATGCCGCCTTTCTCCCTGATCTCCCACTTCACGCCGCCCCTTCCCCCAAAACACTGCCCCTCCTCTCCCTTCTCTTCCCCCTCATCCAGTCGCTCACACTTATGGCCAGAAAAAAGTGGTGGGCCCTGGTCTCCCCTGGATGAGAGTGGGAGAGGATGAAGAACTCCTTTCAAATATAACCTCCCCCCCCACCTCACAAAAGCACAATTTGCCAGCAACAGCAAAAGATGCACCTAACCAACCCGGGCCAGTCACGCTGTGTTGTGTGTGACATTCCCGTCCTGGGGCGGTTTATGTCTTTGAGAATGTGAACCCTGCAGGCCTGGATGTTTCTCTATGTAATGTGACCTCAGTGGTCCTGATGAGAGCCGTTGTTTTTTAATGTTTCAGGAGCAGACATATTTATCATTCATGGACATACAGACATTTATTCATAATTAGAACTGGTCAAAAATAGCGGGGGTGGGGAGGGTCATGAAAATAGAAGAAACCACCCCCCCCCCCATATTCTTCAAAGGTATTTGCAAATGTTTTTAATGATCAAATTTTTGTTTAGTTTTGGTGGGAAAAACTCCACGTTCTCTCTCAAGAGGGCAGAGAAATCCAAAATGTTTTTTTTTAAAAAGGGAACTTTTTTCAAATGATCAATGTAATCCAAAGTGGCATTTTTAGTTCAAAGGTTGCATTGTGAGTGTAAAACCATTTTGAACCAGCTCTATTACTGTATAACAAGATGAGTTTATTTTTCATGCTGCATTGTTTGGGCCAAGTTCCAAGTGGCATTTCAGTTTTTGCCCAGCTCTTCTCTTCTTGCGTCTGCACCTCTCATAAGCTGTGGCCTTAATCTCGGCCCTGGAAACATTTACGTGTATGTTTAACTGTAAAGACTGCTGTGAATAATTCCTTTTCAATGGGACAATTCTGAGGTCGGGTTTACACTGCGGCCCAATATCAGTGTAACTACGTCATTTATTTAATTTTCTTTCTTTTATATGGAAAGTTCTTGAGAGCTTAAAGCAGGTAAAATACATGAACCGGTTTGGACAGTCCAAGTTTGTCAGTGCAAAGTGACAGCAGAGATGTGGTATCTGTGAGTTTTCCATAAGTCTCTCAGGGTTACCCAGGATAACTTTGGGGATCTCTGTCTTGCAACGGGAATGTTCTCTGAAAGTGTCCAAACAGCTCAGAGATGCAGAACCATTCCCTGGATCCATTCTTATAGCTGTCTTCCGTGGAAAGCAGTCTGGCAAGTGTTCCTGTCAGCTCTTTGCTAAGTTATCTGCCAAAACACGAGAGTTTTCAGGTGCCTAAGTAGCCCCTGGAATCATGGTGAAATTATCCTCCCCGCCACCACCAAAATTTGAAATGGTGCCCCTGAGTGCACGGGACCCTACCGTGCTCCTCCAGAGGAGCTGCATTGACAGGCAACTCTGCAAGTTCTCTGCATGCCTCTGCCAGTGACCCCCATGCCTCTCCATTTCCTTGGCCACATGTATCCTGTCCCCATGCTGGCGGCTCATCCAGAAAAAGAGGGAAAGAGCTCACCACTGCGACCACCTGAGGGATGGGTTGGGGTGAGATCAGCTGGTCAAAGCAGGCAATAGGGACAGAATCGGAGACTTGAAGCTCCTCCAGTGACCTCTGACCTTTCCAGACCTGCCCTTCAATCAGACACAGCCATTGTAAAGTTGAATGTGATAGTAACTAGACCCATTTTAAACCCTTCACCACACAAGACAAAGCCCGTAGGATTCATCATTAATCATTTATTTCTCCTCCCCTGGATTCCTGCAGCCACCAGCCACCTTGGAGCTTTCCCTCGTCTCTCCCAGGCTGGGCTCACTTGATGGCAGGAGCTCAGCGGAGGGTCCAGCTTTGCTCTTTCGCTTCCATTCTTCACGTCTTTGGGTGGCTGCATTTGCAACTGAGCAGCCTGATGGAAACACTGAGTCCTCTGTCTCGGCAGGCAGGCCCAGCCGCCAAAGCCAAAGACTCCCTGAGAACAGGGGGAGGTTCGCCTGAACTCTCAGGAGTGGAGGCTGGGCCCATAGGGTAGGGTTACCATATTTGAACTTTCAAAAAAGAGGACACTCTGGGGTGGGGCGGGGGGAGTGGTAGCCCTGCCCCCTATCTACTCCCTCCCACTTCCTGCCCCCTGACTGCCACCCACAGAACCGCCAACCCATCCAACCCCCCCTGCTCCTAGTCCCCTGATCACCCCCTCCCAGGACCCCGCCCTCTATCTAAGCCTTCCTTCTACCCTGTCTCCAACTGCCCCCTCCTGAGACCCCCCCCACCCTAACTGCCCCCCTAGAACTCCACTCCCTACCTGTCCCCTGACTGCCCCGCCCCCTATCCGCACCCCCGCCCCCGACACACCCCCGGGTCTTCCACACCTATCCAACCACTCCCTGTCCCCTGACTGCCCCTGCAGAACCCCCAAACCATCTAATCCCCCCTGCCTCCTGCCCCTGACTTCCCCCCGAACCTCCGCCCCATCCAACCCCTCTCTGCTCTCTGTCCCTTGACTCCCCCGACCCCTCTCCATATGCCTACCCCCTGACAGGCTCCCCCCAGAACCCCTGACCCACCCAACCCCTCCTGCTCCCTGTCCCCTGGCTGTCCCTTGGGACCCCATGCCCCTTCTCCAGCCCCCCGGCCCCCATAACCTGCTGCTCAGAGCAGTGTGTCTGGGGTGCGGAGCCAGACACAGTGCCGCGCTCCCCCACAGTGCGCACAGCTCCCCCCCCCCCCGCCCCCAGAGTGCTGTATTGGGAGGGAAATCCTGGACCTTTGGAGAGTTTTACAAATTCCTCCCGGAGGGTGATTTAAAACCCCAAAAGCCGGACATGTCCGGGAAAATCCGGACGCATGGTAACCCGACCACAGGGACTCCAGGATCTGCAGCTGCTGCCACCTCTATGGTGATTCCTCCAACTCATCACCAACCAGCTCTTCCCCATTCTGCCACCCGGCCCCACGGTCTGACCGTGCAGGAGAACAGAAACCCTTTGGGACAGCAGGAGAGTCTCCTCAACGCCGCACTCTTTGCATGGCTTCCCGCGGTCACCGGGAAACACGACTACCCTGCCCCAGGAGTCTCTCAAGGAGCTGCCGGCGCAGTCACTGGGCACCCACTCGTAATGGTCTCGGGCAGTGGCATTGCAGAGGGAGCTGAGCAGACCGTCCCTTCCGTGACTTCCTGAATTGCTGCCAGGACGGATTCTCCTCTGCGCTAGGGAGAGTCCCCGAGGAAAAGCAGCCATTGGTGCGGGAGGGGGCAAGATAAGCTCTCCCCCGAGCCCTTGAAAAGCAGGCAAGCAGGACTCTGGGAGCCAGGGATCGGTGTGTCTTGCTGGGAGAGCAGAGCTGAAGAGCAGAAAAGGGCACTGGAGGAACTGTAGAAAAGTCAGTGTCATGGCCGGGTCATGAGCAGCCAGACCTAATGGTCAGAGGCAGAGTCCACACTCACAAGGCAGGAGTCAAGAGTCAGCTGGGTCAGGACACTGGAAGATCAGAAGCAAAAGACCAAATTGTGTTCAGCACCTCAAGTCAGATGAGTCACCCCGAGTCCGCATGCCAGGAAATCAAGCCTGGGGAGGGGGAGCAGGAACAGCCAACACACGGTCCAGAGCCGGGGAGGAGCTCGGGTGTTCAGACAGCTCCTTGTTCCTGCTGCTGGTTTAAGGAGGTCCCGGGGGCCGATTAGCTGTTCTGGGACTCTGCCAATAGGTCCTCAGGGATGGAGCCTCAAATTGGGTCTGGACTTCGTCAGTCCTAGGTAAGCAGTTTTTTGTAGGTTTCCAGGTGGCTGCTCCCAGGAACCCTGGAGACCTGGGTTAATGACCCGGGGGTCATGACAGTGACTGATCTCTCCCCGCTCAAACCTCCTGCAGGAAAGAGTCTCCAGGGTCCCAGACGCATCCTCTGAGAATAAAAAAACACAGTCATGAGGACAAATAGGCTATGGAACAGGAGCCCCCTCTTTGTTGCAACAGCCCCAAGTGCCCAGAAGAGTGGACGGTTCTTACCTCCAGGAGATGCCTGGGATCTTCCATCTAAGCCTCATTGGGACCCTTGTTTCTTGGTCTGACGGGATGAGACCATCTGTCCCCACTGCTCCCTGCGCTAGGCTGGCTGCAGCACACATCTGTGTAAGAGGCTGGGCCAGAGAGATGTTACAGTCAGGGTCCAGGCAGCCCAGAAGGAGAACAGAGGGTCTGAAACCAGAAGACGAAGCAATCAAATCAGCGGATTCGACAGAGAAGTTTTCTACCCTACAGGGACATCAAAGAAGGTCTGTTAGGAAAGCTGAGATGTTAGTCTGGAAACTGCTAAGGCAAAGATTGGGACTTGTTAAGATTCAGTTTAAGTCACTACAAAGCGTGTTGTGTTTTGTTTGTCTGTTTGAAATTTGTCTCTTTCTCTTGCTTAGTGTCACTTAAATCTCTTCTTTGTTACTGTGCTTCCAAAACCACCTCAGCGTCGTGTGTTCGAGTGAAGTGTGAGTCTCCAGCCCACCCAACAGGCTGAGCTGTGCCCTGTCTCTCTGAAGGTAGCGAATAATTTCTGAGCGGTGCTGGGCCCAGAGTCCAAGGGCAGTTCAACAGACACCTCCTGTGAAACCCAAAGAGACCAAAGGAGCAGGAGAGATTCAGGCCCCACTGACCCATGGGAACTTCCCACAGAAGAGGCTACACAGGGCTCCAGACACAGCCAGCAGGATCCCTCCCACAAGCTGGGCCATGTCCTTCCCCTCCCAGCCCCACAGCTTCCTCCCGACCCCAGCCTCAGGAACCCCTCCCACCTCCCTGCTCTCCCCACCCACTCTCCAATACCAGGCTCTTTCCAGAATGGAAGCAGGTGCGTACCAGAGTTCACTCACCGCTAGATGCTGGCCAGGCCTCGTGTCACCGCTTTCTCGCTGGGCTAGCAACCCCGCTGATACTCACGCTTGCAGTTTGTTGGCTGGGAACTCAGCCCCCCAACCAGGTGACTGGCCTTTACTCCACTCCTTCCTGGGTCGTGCTCCTTCCAAACAAAGTCCAAAAATGTCTTGAACAGAAACAAGGCCTTCCACCCTCGTGGGGAGCTCTTCCTCGGCCTGATTTCGGCTTGGCCTGCCCTTCTTGGGTTTCTATGGTCTTCTGTGTCCCCTTCCTTAGGGACGGTGAGAGAACCCAGTCCGACCCTGGACTCCAGGTTTTGGCCAGAGGCCATCTACTGAACAGCTCGCTCTGCTTCTGTACTTTTGCTGCTGTTTTCCCTTCTTTCCTCTCAGGTGGGGCTCACTTGGTCATCAACTTGGCCTAGCCCCAGGCTGGGAGCCACGGGCAAACCCTGTTAGATAGCCTCCTCCTTCAAATCTGGTCCAGCCGGCTGACAGGTTTGCTGAGAGGACGGTGAAACCCCATTGCTGATCAGGAGGAGGCAGAGTTGTTTCTAGGAGGCCTCCATTTCCCGCTTCCACTAGCCCCGCATTTACAGTGAGACAGAGCAGTACCTGCAGCAGGGAGCGGGACTTGCTGAACAGGGAGGGGAACCTTTCAGAGCATCAGATGAGCCACAGCCCTTGCAGCGCCTCGGGCATCTGGTGCAAGTGCCTGATGATGTGAAGCTGGCCCATGACCTTGGCTGTGACATCCTCGTGCTGCAGGGGAACGAGAACATGTCAGAGACTGAGACACTCCCCAGGAATCAGGGAGGATTAAGGGCACCTGGAACCAGCACCATCATTTCCACCCAGCAGCTGCTCATGTCTGAGTGGTGGATTCACCCTCCCGACCCCCAGGATGGAGGCTTGCTGTCCTCTCTAGTGACCTCCAGTGCCAACCCCCCTCCTTGTCGGGTGAGCTCCTGCCACCTCCCCATCCGTGCCCCTGACAGCTGTTCCACCTCCAACCCACCTGGGGACACCGCTCAAGTTCGTAGAACCCTCTCCTCCACCCCTACCTCCATCCCCACCCAGGTAGGGCAGGGAGGGGGCTCTAGCAGGGTGGCGGGGGGCAGGAGGGATTCTGGCAGCAGTGAAGTGGGATGGGGAGAGGCTGAGACCTTTCCCCAAGTCACCCCAGTGACAAAAGCTGAAGCCACAGGATGGCAGCCCTGGTGAAGGGGGCAGGTCAGCAGCCCCTGCTGACTGAATCCTCCCAATCGCTCGAGAGCGGGTCCAGCCCTACCAGCAGCAAGACCAGCTTCCCACGCCCATGTGCCTCAGCCCTTCCTGGTCAGTCGCCATCTCCAGTCAGTCCTTGGCCTCCCAGGCTGCCAGGGATGGGAGCAACTCTCGATGGTGGCTCGGGTGACATGGACACTAGGCCATGGGGAAATGGGTGCAGCTCTCTGGAGCAGGAAAGGTTCCCAGAGGGCACTTAGGGGACTCTCCTGTCCTTTCCAGGAGTGATAGCAGAGCACCACATCCTAAGACGAGAAGTCCATGAAGTCCAGAAGTCCCCACTAGGCTCCTTGCTACCAGGCCAGGGAATGGCGATCGGATGGGAATGAGGTCCTGGGCCCCACCCCAAGCTCCTGAGTCGATTGCAGCTGCTTACCGTGACCCCCATCAGTTGCTGGGCTTCCCCCAGGAGGGAGTAGACGAGCACCAGCCCAGCCTGGCTGACACGCAGCAGGGGGTCGTGGATGGCCAGCACTGCTGTCTGCAGAAAGGATCTTTTCTGCCCGTCGCAGAAGAATTTTCCAAAGACCTAGAAGCAAGAGGACACGAGGCTCGAGCAGATTGCCCAGAGCCAGCCTCCAAGTCCTGGCCGTACAATGGCATCACCGTCTAGTGCCCCAAAGGGCGGGGAAGAGAGCTGCTGTGGCCAAGGCAGTTCATTCCCCAGGACTCTTTCAGGGTCCCAGGGCTCAGGGAAGCCCCTTTATCAAAAGGTCGCAGGTGCTTAGGGACCAAAGCCTCCAGTGGCTCTTTCGGGAGGGCAATTTCTGGCAGGGGCCAGGATGGGCTGGAAATGGATCTCTAATGTGTGTGAGCAGGCCACTCTGCTGTGCAGGGCACAGAGACGACAGGGGACCCTGTGTTGCTTCCAGCAGAGAGATCTCCTGCATCTCAGCGCCTAGAGGAGTGTGTGTGTGTTGTGGGGGGCGAGGGGGTTGGAGCTGACAGCCAAAGGTCTCTTCACCCCAGCTTAGTGATTTCTCTCGTCGCTGGGAATGGCCTCTGCAGCTCCTTGGTTTCTTCAAGGGGAATCCAACCTGCAGCCTGACAAGGACAAGGAGACTCATGGCCCAGTCCCCATCCCAGACACTCCTCGGAGACTTTTCTTCTGCTGCAGCAATTCAGCTTGTGGGAGGAGGGACAAGCTCACACAGTCTCTCTCACGGGGCGTCTGTGGAGCAGCGTTCTGTCGATGCCCTTGTCGATCCAGGAGCCGCTCCAAGGCCTCCTCTGTGATGTTGTGGAAATCACCCATTTCACCTTTGACTCCAGTCTGGGGGCACTGTGTTACGGTGTGTACAAAGGTTTGGATATTCTCTCCACAGTTGTGAGACGGGGGGCGGAGGGGTGGGGTTGATGTCTTTGATTTTCTACTTGTGCAGCAAGTAGCCGCAACTTGGGTCAGTGACAATGTGTTTCTTTGGAACAGTGGCTGAGGTCCAGATACTCTGCCATTCCCTGGCCAGGTCTGGAGACATGAGGGGGGGGCGCATGTGGTCCATATTGGCTCTGGAGCTCACTATGTCCAAGACACCCAGAGCCATAATCCTATATTAACTCACCCACCCGGGGATCCTCCTTATGCCACGGAGCAATGCATCCATGTAAGACACTCAAATCACGGCAACTAGCGAGGTTCCAATGTGGGACCTTTAGCACCAGCCTGTCCCACTGGTTGCTGGATGAGGAGCTCTGAGCTGGAAATAAGGAGCGGGCTCTTTTCCTGTCTCCAGGAGGCATCCACTGCAGGGAACCCAGCCAGCCCCACTCCCCGGGCTGTGTCATGCCCTGGCACAGTGCCCTTACCTCCCCCACTCTGGCTGTGTTCTTGTAGCCCAAGAGCCTTCTGTCCTGGTGCCAGTCATAGCACCAGAGATCTTCCGCGCTCATGTATGGTCAGGCCTGGAAGAGAGAGAGAGAGAGAGAGACTTTTCTCCTTCTGGTTGCAGTTTCTGTGTCCTTCCAATCCCATTGGTGGCTGCACAGTGGAGTGGAGAAGAACAGAGGCAGAGAGAGACTTGTCCTCCAGCTGGGGTCAGTGTGAGAGAAATGGTCTGGGGTCCCATTATCCACCTGTGGTCACTCTCAGTCCCCTATTGGGTTCCGTGTCCCAGCTGGGTTCCTTACCCCTCTGTCGGAGCAGCAGCTGGTAGAGCCGGTAAGTCCCCTCCCTGGCCTGCCGGCTGATGTCCTTGTCTGGATCGCTGACAAATAGAGCCAGCTGGGCCACATGGTGCCCCATCCTGGGGAACTCGGCAGAGATCTAATGGAAGGGAGAGGAGAGGGGACTCCATCAGCATTTTCCTGTTAGCTCCCTGTCCCCCCTGGGCCAGAGGGCTCCTTCCCCTTAGCCCCTCTGCAGGAGATGCTGGGGGAGAGGAGCTTGAGATCGACCCTTCATTTGCTCTGCTGCCAAGGGAGCCCGCAGCTGTTTTGGGATGCCAAGCAGGGGCTGGAGCATGGTCCCCTTAAAGGCCCAGGGACAACACTGAACCAGGACAAGAAGAACTTGACTCAAGCCGAGCTCAGTCCCTGCTCTGACCCTGCCTCCCCAGGAAGAACCCTCCTAAGCCACAGCCCCGGCAGCAGCAGATCCTGCAGCCCGCCGGAGCCAGCCCGCCTCCGCCTGGAGCCAGCAAGCTGGGGTCGGAGGTCACTTACGTCAAACTCAGGGAGGGTGACTGTGTATCTCAGCAGGGCTGTGCTGCTCCTGATGGCCCTGGCTCGCTCCTGGGACACCCTGGACACGACCCAGAAGTTGACATGCTGTGGGGAAAGAAGGCAGGTCAGACTCAATGGCCAGGTGCACCTGCTTTGCAAATGAGCCCCCCACGCCCCCAGCCCCAGGGGCCTGAGACATTCTGCGCAGGGGGGAATAGCTGAGGCCTTGCTGGCAGAGCTTTAGAAGGGGATTCTTTCCCCCAGGACACAGCTTGTACCCTGCAGGTCACAACTTGTCAGCGTCTCTCTAGATTGGGACAATGTTCGGGGTCGGGGCTGGTCCCCTCCTCCCAGAACTCCTGATTCCTGAACAGTTCACCAGAAAGGAGACGGAACCCTCCCCCTTCCCTGCTACGCAAATCCTTGGGGGGGTGTAGGGAGTGACTGAGAACACAATCCCCCCAGAAATTTCAGAGCAGATCAGAGGGAAGGGCTGATTCGCTGGGCTCCTCCTGTTTCTCTAGGAAGGAGCGTGTGCCTCTTCTCTGAGAACCATCTCCCCAATCTCATGGGGTGTGTGTGTTGGAGGGGTGGGGGAAGGGTGGGTTTTCAGACTCTCACTCCCCAAGACAGCCAGGAGCCCTGTGGTTAGTGCTCAGCAGAACCAGGCAGAGCTCTGGCTTGAAGTCCCAGCTCCTTTCTCTGTCCCTCAAGAAGGAAGGACCTGACACTGCATTGCACTGACCGCCCCAACCAAGGACGGCCCACTGGGGACCCAGCTAGGAGGACACAGTAGAAAATGGATCTTCCAGTCTCTCCTTACCAGTCCCCCAAAGAGTTGAGGTAAAACGGGGCTCACCTCCAAGATGAAGTGGAGCCTGTCTGTGTCTGGGGACTCTGCCAGCAGATTCCCCAGCATGGCACCCAGGACCTCTGCGATGACTTTGTGCAGAGCCTGCAAAGCATGGGTCAGAGTTAGGGAACCTGAGCCTACACCTGCCACAGGATGGGAAGAGGGGTCTCTGGGAAGCACTGGGGAGACTCCCAAACACATCTCCTGGCCTCTCTCCTTCACATCCCACTGCAGGCAATTCACAAGAATTGATGACCCCTGGACCTTTGATCCATGAGCTTAGCAGGTCTCTGCAGAGGGCCTTGTAGGCAGAAGAGTATGAAACAGCCAAGTTGCTATGGATGGAGGCTGGGCTTCTGGGCAAAACACGGCTTATGGAAGAAAGAAAGAAAGAAAGAAAGAAAGAAAGAAAGAAAGAAAGAAAGAAAGAAATCCCCCAGAGAGGGGTAATCTCTTCCCTGCTGGAGGGAAGGATCCAACCCTGCAGCTTGTTCCATCTCCGCTACCCCACCCCTAAATCTGGAGCTCCAGCGAATCAAGGGAGCAGGACCAAGGAGCACTCTGGAAGAGGAGGAGGATGGAGGAGGAGGAGGTACCTGGATGTCGGTGGTGTCCTTCTCCGTGCCCAGGGTGAAGACGGAGTGAAGGGCAGCTCGCAAGAGGTGGGTCTCTAGGGCTGGCTCCAGGGCAGGTTTCATGGTGCTGGCAAGAGAGAGGAGCTGGTATTAGACTGTGCAGTACGGGGGTGGGACTGTGGCCAACATGGACACCAACCCACAGGGATATAGGCACAGGCTGGTGAGATTGGAAACTGAGGCACTGAGCTCGGGAATGACAAGGCCAAGGCGTCCCAGATAGACAGTGGCAGGACAGGAATAGCTCCTGTTCCCTGGAGCCTGCTGCCCCTCCTGCATCTGAGCCCGGGAGTGAGCCCCTCCCCAAGGCCCCTGTCATGTGATGGGAGTGAAAAGAAGAGCCCCGCCAGGAGAGAGTGACCCTTCCCTCCCCACCATCTCTGCCAGAGGCGCCACTCTTGGGAGGTGACCTGGGCGGGACAGTGACGGTGACTCCCAGCCTTGGGCCTGAGCAGCACTGGGGTGAGGGGAGCCGGCGGGGTGGGGGGTGGGGCTGTCTCGGTACCAGAGGTAGCCCACTGCAGCCAGGGAGTGGGCGAGGACGGCGCTGGGTGACGAGTCGTCGGGAAGCTCCTCGATGAGCTCCTGTGAGACGCGAAGGAGACAAAGGAGCGTGTGAGATTCAGGCCCGACTGACACCTCCCAGTGAGGAGATGACACAGCCAGTGCCCCACATGGCCAGCAGGATCCCCCACCACCTCCCGCTCCCCCGATTCCTTCCTGCCCATCCGACTTGTCCCCCTTCCCGGATTCCTGCCCAGCTCACTCCCAACCCCTTCTCTCCTCCTCCCTGTCAAAACTGCCCCCATTCAGCCCCATCCCAATGACCGAGCTGGGACCATGTGATTCCTTGTCCCCCACTCTCAGCTACCCTAGCCCCGCAATTCCCCCCCTGCCCACTACCCACCAATCTCAGAATTTCTCCCAAGTCTTCAGCCCCAGCAATCCCTGCCCTCTGCTGCCCCCTCCAACACTACCCAGCCCCCACCCATTAGCCCGACCATACCCCTGCCAATCCCATGTCTCTCTCCTCCCGCCAGCTGCCGTATGGCGTGTCGAACTCACCACGATCCTCTTCACCACAGCCGCCTTGCAGCAGCGCGGCTCCAGCGTGTCCTCCCCTCTCTCCCGTGCAGCCAGACAGGCGGGGTAGATGGCCTGAAGGAACAGGAGCTGCTGCCCCTCATCCTGGACCCACCAGGAGTGGGGTATAGCGAGAGAGAACCTGTTAGCTAGGGACCTTCCTGCCCCACCCACACCAGCTCCAGGGCTCAGGCCTCAATGGGGGATTGTGGGGACCCGCCGATTGTCCAAATCCCCCACCACTCCTACACAAGCAGGATCAGGAACGGGGACAGTGCCTGTGGGGGGAGACGACCTCGGCTGTTGTGGGACAAACACCCCCATCTTGGGGGTCCCACATCATGGATGTAAAAGGGCCCCATTAGGGGTGGTGGATCAGGAGGGACAAGACCTTCGGCAGGGGGTGGGGATGCTGGGAAGGGACAGGGCAATCTTGATTCCAGCCCAGGTGGGGAACATTTGTACCTTATCTCTGCACTGGAGCTGCTCTCGGATGACCTTGAGAGCAGCTTCATCTTTGGCCACGTCCACCCCTTCCTCCTGCTCCGAATCCAGGGGGGTCCCTGCACCAGGGAGAGAAGGACAGGGGCGTGGTGGGCAGAGCAGGATTCAAGACCCCCCTTCCCACCTCAGGCCCCCAGGGCAGATGGGGCCCCAGACCTCCCTCTCAGGGATGCCGTCAGCCCCCAACAGCTGCCGAAGCCCAGAGCAGAGCCCCCCTCCCCTGCCCAGGACTCCAGGGGAGGGGCCTGTTCCCCCCGCCCGGAGCAGCAAGGACCAAGGTGGCAGCAGCTCTTCACGCCCCCACCCCCAGGTCCCCGTGCGAAGGGGCAGCTGTGTGACGGCTGCTGCTGTCCGTGGGGTTCGCGGGGCTCAGGCCAGACACCTGGGCTGGGGACCCCCCCCCCGTATCCCTGGGAGAGCGTCTGGGCCCAGGGGGTTCACATCCCGTCCTCAGCCCTCCCGGAGCCCAGCCTGGCTCCTCACCTGGCACAAAGCCGTGGCGCCCGTCGGCCTGGCTGCTGCCAGAGGCCCAGGTGCTGCCGCTGTCCCAGGCTGAGCTGCCGGTGCTGGGCCAGGGACCTTCCCCCTCCTGGCCGGCGGGGGCTGGAAGGGCCTCAGAGAGCGGGCAGGGCGAGGCCTCCTGATGGGAAGGAGGGCTGGGCTCCTGGGGCCGCTGCTGCCCACACAACCAGCCCCAGAGCCACCCTGCCCGGCGCCCCTCCTGGGCTGGGTCCTGTCTGCCAAACCGCAGCCTGGGCCAGCTCCACCGGGGCCTGGTCGGGGCCGCTCCCAGCTCGGCGCCTGCGCCGGGAGCCGGGGTCCTTTTCCAGAAGGCCGGGCACTTCCGCCGTCTGGCCTGGACGGGAGCTGCTTCCCCGCCAGCGGGGACGCAGGGCTTGCTCTGCCCCTCGGGAAGGCGGCAGCTGCTTCCCTCAGGCTCTGGGGCCACCGGCAGAGCCTTCCTCCGCAACATCCGCAGGAGCCTGGCCATCCTGGAACCGAGCGGGGAGCAGGGCTGAGTCTGGGCTCAAGGCAGCCTTTCACTCCTGGCCCTTTTCCGTCCCTTCTCCTCCCTGCTCCAACCACAGCCGCCCCCTCTGCCCCCACAGGAGTGCAGGGAGTGCCATCTACACACACGGGCAGGAGTTCATTGCATGATCTGCTCCCAACGTTCCCCCTCGTAATCCCTGCTGCTGCAATATCCAGGAAGTCTCATCCTTTTCCAGCAATGGGGTCAGTCCCAAAGACCATCGGTTACTCTGGACAAGCAGCCCCCTCCTCTTATCCCAGGCCATTCTCCCACCCAGGCTAGAGAAGGAAGAGAAACCAGGAGTCCCGACTTCTCCTGGGAAACCATTCCCCACGTCAAAGTCACAAAGACCCTAGGCACAGGAAGACCAGGGCCCTCCTCGTTGCCCATTGATTTCCATGCTCAGCAGCTCACAGGCTCTGGCCCAGCTCCGAGACTCTCAGCCTGGGGAACAGTGTCCCACAAGGGAAGGGCTGGGAGCCCCATTGCTGGAACCTTTCCAAACACACTGGAGACGGCTCTGGAGAAGCCCCTGCCCGGTCTAAGAGTGAGGAGCTCTTGGGGGCTGTTTGCAAATGAAATCCCCCTTGGGAGATATCCTCTCCCCCTCTTTCTGCCTCTCCCCACACAGACAGGGGAAGCCACCGAGGAACCCGAATGCCACTCACTTGCTCTCAGTGATGGTACGATGGATGGCGGATGTTCAGGGTGAGCAGACGTCCCTCGCCCTCCTCCTCACTCCCCAAGCCCAAGGCAGGCTGGAGAGGGTGGTGACCTCAGGAGTTACCCTGCCCAGCCAGCAGGCAGGGTGATGACACGAGGGCGATCGACTGGCTGTGAAAACAAGTGTCTGTCTTATTGCCAAGGGACGGAGAAACTCAGCCAGCAGCAGGGGGGTGCAGAACACGGCCCTAGGGCGGAGGTGACAACGCCTGCAGGATCCTGACATCCCAGCACTTCCAGAGCCCAGGAAATAAGGTGTGAACATTTTCATGGAAACCGTTTTCTGTCAGAAAATCCATTCAGACGAAACCACTTTGTTTCTTGAAATCATAACAAGTAGGATGAAAATTCTTTGCAAAAAGATTTGTTTGCAAAACAAGAGCATCTCCAGTTTGTCAGAGCGCATTAAACTGTCTCGTCGTACACAAAGGGGAGACACTATGATCTAGAACATTAGATGAGATGCTTCAGGCTGAGCTAAGTAGTTGCTGCTCTTCACAATTTCAAAATAATAAAATGCAAATGAAATCGAATATTTGCTCATAATCTGCTATGGCTCAGTGTGGTAGGAACCCCCTAGTCTGCACTGCTCCGAGTGACACTCTTCAGTGGATCCCCATCACCCACCCATGGCGAGGTAGGTGGGAGAGGATTGTTATTGCTCCTTGACAGAAGGAGAAACGAAGGCTGAGAAAGGTGCAGGGACTTGTCTTAGCTGATGCAGTTGCTCTCAAATGAGCTATAGACCAACAATTCTTCATCGTAATTATTCAGCAAGTATTTCAGAAGAATTGGAATGTTCGAGAGGATCATGAACTGCTCTGAGACAATGAATGGAGAGCAGCATCCACATTGGTCAAACATCTAACTGGTTGTGACTTATTTGCTTGGTCATAAAAGAGAACAAGAAAGACCAGAGTTTCCTCCCTGTCAATAGCCCCCTCCTCAGCCAATCAAGGTTGAGACTTTGAGGGGTGGGAGGCTAAGGGGTCTCACCAAATAGCCCAAAGAATGGCCCTGGTCTCCCCCGAGGGGATCACTCTCGGAGCACTAGCCGAGAGCAGAGGAAAAGGACAAAGGAAGCAAGAAGAGAAAGGTAGGAGGGACAGAGCAAAAGGGAAAACAAAAAGGAGAAACCCCAATGTCCCCAGTGATTCTAAGGGACAAAGTCCTAGGTCGGAAATAAAATGCTGCCCCCACAATCTAGTGTTTTCCTTTCCTAAAAATCAGCCGGCACCTGATGGATCAGACTGAACAGGTTCCAAACCTCTCCGAGGCTCTTACCTTCTCTAGAGGGACGTCTGTTTTTGAGCAAAACCACGAAAAGAAAAGGAGAAAACTCCAAAGAGGGTCCTCCTTGCGCTCACGTACGTGCAAGTGAATGCTCTCTCAGTCCTCCAGGAGAGACCTCGAGAAGGAGACGTGCTGAAGCAAAGCCACAGGGATCTCCGAGGTTGCCCCTGTCCTGCACCCCTGTCCTGCCTGGCTGATGTCAAGATCTCTCTGTGAGGTCATCGCCTCCCCACCACCTTTGTCCAATAGGCTGAGGTCCTGCCAAAGGCCCTTGTGATGTCACTGCCACACCCACCCCTCCCCTGCAGTGCTGATGTCCTGCCCCTGTCCAGCCACACCGGATGTTTGAGCTGCTTCCCCTGGATCACCCCTCTCAATGAGCGTTCATTGTGGGCTCAAGCCGAACACAGTAAAACATCAGAGGCTTCTCCCCATGCAAAGCTCAGTTTTTCATAAATTAGCAGACTTTATGGACAGAAGAGACAATTAGAGTACGTCATCAGACCCCCTGCAAATCACATGCTTTCTGTAGAGAATAGTAGCTAGTTTTTGACTACACACGTTCCAGAAAGCCATCTCGTCTTCATTAGAAGACATCAAGAGGTGGGGAATTCCACCACTTCCCTTTCTAGTTTGTTCCTTTGGTGATTCATTCTCAGTGTTGAATATGTGTGCCCTCTTTCTCATATGAATTGGTCTCTTTTGAGTTGCCAGCCACTGCGTCTTGTTACGCTTTTCTCTGCTAGATCAATGAGCCCTTTAATACCCGATAGTTTCTCTTCATGAAGTCACTTCAGCACTTCAATGATGTCACCTCCCGATCTTTTTTATCACCTAAACAGGCTGAGGTCTTTCAATAGCTCACTCGCAGGCATTTCTCTCCAGCCCTCAAAATATTTCATTGCTTTTTGCTGCCACATCTCCAATATTTCCAAATCTTTTTCAAAGGTGGACGCCAAAACTGGATGCAGGATTCCATGATCAGTCTTCCTCATGGTGTGTCACCTCCCTCTGCTCCTCACTGCTCTTTTCATACATCTAATGATGGCTTTAGCCCCGTTCACCACAGCATCACCCTGGGTGCTCATGTTGAATGGCTTGCCCAGCATGGCCCCGAAATCCTCTTCACAGTCAGTGCTTTCCTGGATACACTGCCCCATTCTGTAGGTGTGGCCTGCATGCTTTGTTGCTGGCGATAGGACCCTTCCTTTGGTTCTTTTCAAACTTGTTTTCTTTGAATGGGTCCAGCTTCTCAAGGGATCCGATTACTCTGTGTCACTGCCCTCTCCTCATCATTAATTACCACTCTGCTACGATTTTATCACCCACCAATGTTAGCAGCAGTGATTCTTATTTGGGTTGCAGTTCATTGATATTTATTTTCAAGTATTAGTCCTTGAGAGCCTCTTCATATCCCTAGTGCCCAGAACCTGCTCCTCACAGCACAGCGAGAAAAGGCCGCCCAGCCCAGCTGTGCCATAGGGGCTAAGCACAGAACTAACTTCGGAGCTTGTGCCATCCATAGCTTCTGAACAACATGTGGGGGTCATCAGCTTAGAAATACACTCTCGACCGGTAGCGTAGACAGGCCCCAAATATATCTAAGTGTCCCGCCTTGAAAAAGAGGAGAGAAGAAAACATAACCCTGAGTAGTGTTATTTTATAGTCGTGGAAACTGAGGCACAGAGAAGCAAAGAGATTCGCTCATGGTCAAAAAGCCAGGAATAGAAAACGGCAGATCTGCTGATAGTCAGTCCTGGCCCCTAGCCGTGTTTGTCCTGGCCTCTCTGCTTCAGCTCCAGTGACAACCCGAGTCGAGGTTTTCTTCTTTTCCGTGTCCTTTAACTTCACGTCACTGCAGAAGAAAGATTGTTTCTGACCAGCTGGCTCTAATGCATGGAGATGTCTTTCCGGAAGACGTGCTCTGGCTCAGTCCCATGTCGTAGGTTTCCTGGAGGAAGCGCTCGGTGCCGTTCTAGGGCCTGTGTTACACAGAAGATGGACAGAATGGTCCTTTCTGACCTTCATTTTTTTCTTTCGCTCGGAGGATAACGCTGGACATTTTCTCTCATTCACTTTCCTTTGGAATAATTTCAATCCAGTCCAAAGGATTTCCTCTTCCGTTGTGTCTTCAGCACCTTTCCTAGCAAACAGTTACTGTTCGAGCCCAGGTTTCCAGTTTCAGGCTGTCCCAGGGTGAGATGGCCATGAAAGGGGGAGTAGCTGAACTGAACCTCTCCCCAGGTGAAGGGAATAAGTGCAGCGGTCACGTGAGAAGGAGCAGCATGTAACTAGGATCCAGGCCCGTTGGGTGATATAAGAACAGCCTGTGCTCAGCCAGGAGAGAGACCCGCAATGGGAGCAGGCCTGGGAGAGGCTTGGATAGTCCTTTCAAGGCAGTTTGGGTACACAGTAGGGGATGGAACAGCCAAGCTGCTAGGGTTGGGAGCTGGGCCTCCTGGCCGTGTCCAGGAACGAAAGCACAGCATCTGCCAGGAAGGGAGTCCCCACAGAGGGACACCGTAATCTCCCAGGGAGGGAAAAGGCTCTGACTGCCATTTCTTAACCTCAGGGGTGTTCTCCTGCTCTGCCAACCCCACCTGTATTTCAGCATCTCCAGATGCCTGAAGGTATCCTCAGACGTGCAGAACACAACGCCATCCACAGCCTCAGAAACAGCTCAGACATCATAATCAAAAAGGCTGACAAAGGAGGTGCTGTCGTCATCATGAATAGGTCGGAATATGAACAAGAGGCTGCTCGGCAGCTCTCCAACACCACTTTCTACAAGCCATTATCCTCTGATCCCACTGAGAGTTACCAAAAGAAACGACACCATCTGCTCAAGAAACTCCCTGAAAAAGCACAAGAACAAATCTGCACAGACACACCCCTAGAGCCCCAACCAGGGGTCTTCTATCTGCTACCCAAGATCCATAAACATGGAAATCCTGGATGCCCCTTCATCTGAGGCATTGGCATCCTGACAGCAGGATTGTCTGGTTCTGTAGACTCTCTCCTCAGGCCCTACGCTACCAGCACTCCCAGCTACCACTTCAATCTCTCTGGTCACTCTCCAAGGAACTCCCCACTCCGAGACACTGTGGCCTGTAAATGCAGGTGGGGAATTAATTACTGACCTCGGTGGCGTTCAGACTATGTCCTGAAGCATGGGATTGGGCCAGAGGGACAGCTAGCGCTGGCCACAGTGTCTCGGGTCTCGGAGTGGGAAGTTCCTTGGAGAATTGCACTGGGTGGGAGACTCAGCTGTGAAGGGAGGGGGCGGGCAGGAGCATCTCATCAACCCAAGTTTGGAATAACTGAAGTAATGTTCCTTTTACACGGAGCCTCAGCTCCTTGGAACCTCTGCAAACGCTTTAGCCACGTGTTTAACTCCATCCGTAGGAGTAGCCTTGGATGGCAGTGGGAGGGCTCAAGTGTGTAAGTGTTTGCAGGATGGGCGCTCAGGGCAGTCCCTGACGCCAGGGCAAAGTGGGTGTGAAGAGCCACTGTCTGGATTTGGGAGCCTGCCTGCACACCGAACTCACTCGGTGCTGGGTGCATGACTGCAAGGCGCTGGGCCGGGGAAAATCAGCCCCGGGTGGTTATTTTGAGTAGAAAACCAGAGCCACTTCTGGGGTCTTTCAGCTTCTAATGCCCTTTCCCTTCTGCAGCTGGATTTCAGCGTACGTTAAAATCCCTCTCAATGCCACGTCACTGCCATAAATCACTGGACTGGGTGCAGGAATCAGTAGGCGACGTTCTCTGGCCTGGGTTATGCCAGGGCTCAGCCTAAATGATTGTTCCCAAAACTTTTAAAAGCTGAGCCCCCTCCTCAAGGCAAAGAAACCAATCGTGCCCCTCACCCGTCAGCAATGTGTTAGCGACCCCACCCCCCATTTTCATGGATACATCTTCAAACCCCACCCTTCCCACCAGGGCTAGCCCTTCCCCACGCTTCAGGAGACGCTGGAGTAGATGATCCTAACCGTCCCCTCTAACCTTAAGACCTGAGGGACCCCATCCTGGAGCATCTTAAAAATCCCAGTTCCCAGACTCTGGAACAGGGGCTGCTTTGGCGGGCTCACCTTTCTCCCTCCGTCAGGTTGGCCGATGGGGATAATGAGCCTGGAGATCTCATTCCCGCTGCTCTGAGTGCTGCCCATGTGCGCACGACCCAACTCAGCTTCTACTGTATCCCAGGAACGTCTTCATCTTCTGGGATCCTCATGGGAACAGTGGGATGATTTAACGGACTCCCTTAGTCATGGGGCCTTTCTCTCTCTTTTTTTGTTTCAGAGCCAGCGTCCTGGAATCGTCTCCTGGTGCGTGGAGTGGTGGCAGTGGTGGGGGAGCTAGTCTCACTATACCGATGTGGGTTTTGGAAAGGAAGGGGGAAAGTGTTTGCCTACTCGTGACTCGTCTTCAGGAAGCTGCTGACTCATCCCTCCCAGCAGCCTGGAAGTCCGCAGGATTCACAGGAATCTGAGCTCCCCGCAGTGTGTGACAGGGACGGGGACCAGGCCCAGGGGACCAGAAACAGGAATCGAGACCAGCCCTGGAGAATGGTGAAGGAGACCTGCTCATGGAGGACAGACGCTTCTCCCAGGAACCCAGAGGAAGGGATCCGTTAAGTGGGGACACGGGTGTGGCCCAGGAAACTGGAGTAGCATTGCCAATCCTCCAGGGTGACCGGGAGTCTGCAGGAATTCAAGATTAATTTTTAATTAATCCCTCTTACGGTGCCCCTCAATGGTGGGGACTAGACTGGGCGAAACTTTTCATCTAAACCAATTTTAGGTGAAAAATGCAGATTCAGCAGTTTGCGAATTGGTATCCGTTCTGCTGAATTGTTCACATCCAGCCCCTCCCCCCAGTTCTTAACAAGTCAAAGCATTTCGTTTAGACACTTTCCAAACAAACTATTTTGATTTTTCAGCTTGAAACAATTTTTTGTTTAAAAATGTCCTTCAATTTTATTTTAAAAATTCAAAAAGTTACAACCCTTGAAATGTTCCTGGGTTTTGTTTTATTTTTAAGCTTTTTGGTTCATGAAAAATTTGGAAAAAATTTAGTTTTGTTCAACCTGAAACCAGTTTTTTTCCATCTCTTTTTTTGGAATTGCCAGCGACCAAAAACTTCTGTTTGCCCAGCTCCAGGGGCGGGTGAGGATTTTAGCGATAATAGTGTGGGTCTCTGAGTCTCCTTGTTGCTCAAAGTTTTCTTACTGTTACAAATGAATTTGGGATGAGGGCAGGATGGGCAAGAGATTCCTAAAAGTGGGGGGCTGATGGCACCCAAACTGTAGCCCAGCCCCTGTGCCACCCCTTCTCCTCGAGGTCCGGCCCCCTCAAACCGCCCCTTACCCTGAGGCCCCCCCTCATGCCGCCTTTCTCCCTGATCTCCCACTTCACGCCGCCCCTTCCCCCAAAACACTGCCCCTCCTCTCCGTTCTCTTCCCCCTCATCCAGTCGCTCACACTTATGGCCAGAAGAAAGTGGTGGGCCCTGGTCTCCCCTGGATGTGAGTGGGAGAGGATGAAGAACTCCTTTCAAATATAACCTCCCCCCCCACCTCACAAAAGCACAATTTGCCAGCAACAGCAAAAGATGCACCTAACCAACCCGGGCCAGTCACGCTGTGTTGTGTGTGACATTCCCGTCCTGGGGCGGTTTATGTCTTTGAGAATGTGAACCCTGCAGGCCTGGATGTTTCTCTATGTAATGTGACCTCAGTGGTCCTGATGAGAGCCGTTGTTTTTTAATGTTTCAGGAGCAGACATATTTATCATTCATGGACATACAGACATTTCTTCATAATTAGAACTGGTCAAAAATAGCGGGGGTGGGGAGGGTCATGAAAATAGAAGAAACCACCCCCCCCCCCATATTCTTCAAAGGTATTTGCAAATGTTTTTAATGATCAAATTTTTGTTTAGTTTTGGTGGGAAAAACTCCACGTTCTCTCTCAAGAGGGCAGAGAAATCCAAAATGTTTTTTTTAAAAAGGGAACTTTTTTCAAATGATCAATGTAATCCAAAGTGGCATTTTTAGTTCAAAGGTTGCATTGTGAGTGTAAAACCATTTTGAACCAGCTCTATTACTGTATAACAAGATGAGTTTATTTTTCATGCTGCATTGTTTGGGCCAAGTTCCAAGTGGCATTTCAGTTTTTGCCCAGCTCTTCTCTTCTTGCGTCTGCACCTCTCATAAGCTGTGGCCTTAATCTCGGCCCTGGAAACATTTACGTGCATGTTTAACTGTAAAGACTGCTGTGAATAATTCCTTTTCAATGGGACAACTCTGAGGTCGGGTTTACACTGCGGCCCTATATCAGTGTAACTACGTCATTTATTTAATTTTCTTTCTTTTATATGGAAAGTTCTTGAGAGCTTAAAGCAGGTAAAATACATGAACCGGTTTGGACAGTCCAAGTTTGTCAGTGCAAAGTGACAGCAGAGATGTGGCATCTGTGAGTTTTCCATAAGTCTCTCAGGGTTACCCAGGATAACTTTGGGGATCTCTGTCTTGCAACGGGAATGTTCTCTGAAAGTGTCCAAACAGCTCAGAGATGCAGAACCATTCCCTGGATCCATTCTTATAGCTGTCTTCCGTGGAAAGCAGTCTGGCAAGTGTTCCTGTCAGCTCTTTGCTAAGTTATCTGCCAAAACACGAGAGTTTTCAGGTGCCTAAGTAGCCCCTGGAATCATGGTGAAATTATCCTCCCCGCCACCACCAAAATTTGAAATGGTGCCCCTGAGTGCACGGGACCCTACCGTGCTCCTCCAGAGGAGCTGCATTGACAGGCAACTCTGCAAGTTCTCTGCATGCCTCTGCCAGTGACCCCCATGCCTCTCCATTTCCTTGGCCACATGTATCCTGTCCCCATGCTGGCGGCTCATCCAGAAAAAGAGGGAAAGAGCTCACCACTGCGACCACCTGAGGAATGGGTTGGGGTGAGATCAGCTGGTCAAAGCAGGCAATAGGGACAGAATCGGAGACTTGAAGCTCCTCGAGTGACCTCTGACCTTTCCAGACCTGCCCTTCAATCAGACACAGCCATTGTAAAGTTGAATGTGATAGTAACTAGACCCATTTTAAACCCTTCACCACACAAGACAAAGCCCGTAGGATTCATCATTAATCATTTATTTCTCCTCCCCTGGATTCCTGCAGCCACCAGCCACCTTGGAGCTTTCCCTCGTCTCTCCCAGGCTGGGCTCACTTGATGGCAGGAGCTCAGCGGAGGGTCCAGCTTTGCTCTTTCGCTTCCATTCTTCACGTCTTTGGGTGGCTGCATTTGCAACTGAGCAGCCTGATGGAAACACTGAGTCCTCTGTCTCGGCAGGCAGGCCCAGGCGCGAAAGCCAAAGACTCCCTGAGAACAGGGGGAGGTTCGCCTGAACTCTCAGGAGTGGAGGCTGGGCCCATAGGGTAGGGTTACCATATTTGAACTTTCAAAAAAGAGGACACTCTGGGGTGGGGCGGGGGGAGTGGTAGCCCTGCCCCCTATCTACTCCCTCCCACTTCCTGCCCCCTGACTGCCACCCACAGAACCGCCAACCCATCCAACCCCCCCTGCTCCTAGTCCCCTGATCACCCCCTCCCAGGACCCCGCCCTCTATCTAAGCCTTCCTTCTACCCTGTCTCCAACTGCCCCCTCCTGAGACCCCCCACCCTAACTGCCCCCCTAGAACTCCACTCCCTACCTGTCCCCTGACTGCCCCGCCCCCTATCCGCACCCCCGCCCCCGACACACCCCCGGGTCTTCCACACCTATCCAACCACTCCCTGTCCCCTGACTGCCCCTGCAGAACCCCCAAACCATCTAATCCCCCCTGCCTCCTGCCCCTGACTTCCCCCCCGAACCTCCGCCCCATCCAACCCCTCTCTGCTCTCTGTCCCTTGACTCCCCCGACCCCTCTCCATATGCCTACCCCCTGACAGGCTCCCCCCAGAACCCCTGACCCACCCAACCCCTCCTGCTCCCTGTCCCCTGACTGTCCCTTGGGACCCCATGCCCCTTCTCCAGCCCCCCGGCCCCCATAACCTGCTGCTCAGAGCAGTGTGTCTGGGGTGCGGAGCCAGACACAGTGCCGCGCTCCCCCACAGTGCGCACAGCTCCCCCCCCCCCCCCCCGCCCCCAGAGTGCTGTATTGGGAGGGAAATCCTGGACCTTTGGAGAGTTTTACAAATTCCTCCCGGAGGGTGATTTAAAACCCCAAAAGCCGGACATGTCCGGGAAAATCCGGACGCATGGTAACCCGACCACAGGGACTCCAGGATCTGCAGCTGCTGCCACCTCTATGGTGATTCCTCCAACTCATCACCAACCAGCTCTTCCCCATTCTGCCACCCGGCCCCACGGTCTGACCGTGCAGGAGAACAGAAACCCTTTGGGACAGCAGGAGAGTCTCCTCAACGCCGCACTCTTTGCATGGCTTCCCGCGGTCACCGGGAAACACGACTACCCTGCCCCAGGAGTCTCTCAAGGAGCTGCCGGCGCAGTCACTGGGCACCCACTCGTAATGGTCTCGGGCAGTGGCATTGCAGAGGGAGCTGAGCAGACCGTCCCTTCCGTGACTTCCTGAATTGCTGCCAGGACGGATTCTCCTCTGCGCTAGGGAGAGTCCCCGAGGAAAAGCAGCCATTGGTGCGGGAGGGGGCAAGATAAGCTCTCCCCCGAGCCCTTGAAAAGCAGGCAAGCAGGACTCTGGGAGCCAGGGATCGGTTTGTCTTGCTGGGAGAGCAGAGCTGGAGAGCAGAAAAGGGCACTGGAGGAATTGTCGAAAAGTCAGTGTCATGGCCGGGTCATGAGCAGCCAGACCTAATGGTCAGAGGCAGAGTCCACACTCACAAGGCAGGAGTCGAGAGTCAGCTGGGTCAGGACACTGGAAGAGCAGAAGCAAAAGACCAAATTGTCTTCAGCACCTCAAGTCAGATGAGTCACCCCGAGTCCGCATGCCAGGAAATCAAGCCTGGGGAGGGGGAGCAGGAACAGCCAACACACGGTCCAGAGCCGGGGAGGAGCTCGGGTGTTCAGACAGCTCCTTGTTCCTGCTGCTGGTTTAAGGAGGTCCCGGGGGCCGATTAGCTGTTCTGGGACTCTGCCAATAGGTCCTCAGGGATGGAGCCTCAAATTGGGTCTGGACTTCGTCAGTCCTAGGTAAGCAGTTTTTTGTAGGTTTCCAGGTGGCTGCTCCCAGGAACCCTGGAGACCTGGGTTAATGACCCGGGGGTCATGACAGTGACTGATCTCTTCCCGCTCAAACCTCCTGCACGAAAGAGTCTCCAGGGTCCCAGACGCATCCTCTGAGAATAAAAATACACAGTCATGAGGACAAATAGGCTATGGAACAGGAGCCCCCTCTTTGTTGCAACAGCCCCAAGTGCCCAGAAGAGTGGACGGTTCTTACCTCCAGGAGATGCCTGGGATCTTCCATCTAAGCCTCATTGGGACCCTTGTTTCTTGGTCTGACGGGATGAGACCATCTGTCCCCACTGCTCCCTGCGCTAGGCTGGCTGCAGCACACATCTGTGTAAGAGGCTGGGCCAGAGAGATGTTACAGTCAGGGTCCAGGCAGCCCAGAAGGAGAACAGAGGGTCTGAAACCAGAAGACGAAGCAATCAAATCAGCGGATTCGACAGAGAAGTTTTCTACCCTACGGGGACATCAAAGAAGGTCTGTTAGGAAAGCTGAGATGTTAGTCTGGAAACTGCTAAGGCAAAGATTGGGACTTGTTAAGATTCAGTTTAAGTCACTACAAAGCGTGTTGTGTTTTGTTTGTCTGTTTGAAATTTGTCTCTTTCTCTTGCTTAGTGTCACTTAAATCTCTTCTTTGTTACTATGCTTCCAAAACCACCTCAGCGTCGTGTGTTCGAGTGAAGTGTGAGTCTCCAGCCTACCCAACAGGCTGAGCTGTGCCCTGTCTCTCTGAAGGTAGCGAATAATTTCTGAGCGGTGCAGGGCCCAGAGTCCAAGGGCAGTTCAACAGACACCTCCTGTGAAACCCAAAGAGACCAAAGGAGCAGGAGAGATTCAGGCCCCACTGACCCATGGGAACTTCCCACAGAAGAGGCTACACAGGGCTCCAGACACAGCCAGCAGGATCCCTCCCACAAGCTGGGCCATGTCCTTCCCCTCCCAGCCCCACAGCTTCCTCCCGACCCCAGCCTCAGGAACCCCTCCCACCTCCCTGCTCTCCCCACCCACTCTCCAATACCAGGCTGTTTCCAGAATGGAAGCAGGTGCGTACCAGAGTTCACTTACCGCTAGATGCTGGCCAGGCCTCGTGTCACCGCTTTCTCGCTGGTCTAGCAACCCCGCTGATACTCACGCTTGCAGTTTGTTGTCTGGGAACTCAGCCCCCCAACCAGGTGACTGGCCTTTACTCCACTCCTTCCTGGGTCGTGCTCCTTCCAAACAAAGTCCAAAAATGTCTTGAACAGAAACAAGGCCTTCCACCCTCGTGGGGAGCTCTTCCTCGGCCTGATTTCGGCTTGGCCTGCCCTTCTTGGGTTTCTATGGTCTTCTGTGTCCCCTTCCTTAGGGACGGTGAGAGAACCCAGTCCGACCCTGGACTCCAGGTTTTGGCCAGAGGCCGTCTACTGAACAGCTCGCTCTGCTTCTGTACTTTTGCTGCTTTTTTCCCTTCTTTCCTCTCAGGTGGGGCTCACTTGGTCATCAACTTGGCCTAGCCCCAGGCTGGGCAGCCACGGGCCAAGCCACCCTGTTAGATATCCTCCTCCTTCAAATCTGGTCCAGCCTGGCTGACAGGTTTGCTGAGAGGACGGTGAAACCCCATTGCTGATCAGGAGGAGGTCAGAGTCTGTTCTCTAGGAGGCCTCCATTTCCGCTTCCACTAGCCCCGCATTTACAGTGAGACAGAGCAGTACCTGCAGCAGGGAGCGGGACTTGCTGAACAGGGAGGGGAACCTTTCAGAGCATCAGATGAGCCACAGCCCTTGCAGCGCCTCGGGCATCTGGTGCAAGTGCCTGATGATGTGAAGCTGGCCCATGACCTTGGCTGTGACATCCTCGTGCTGCAGGGGAACGAGAACATGTCAGAGACTGAGACACTCCCCAGGAATCAGGGAGGATGAAGGGCACCTGGAACCAGCACCATCATTTCCACCCAGCAGCTGCTCATGTCTGAGTGGTGGATTCACCCTCCCGACCCCCAGGATGGAGGCTTGCTGTCCTCTCTAGTGACCTCCAGTGCCAACCCCCCTCCTTGTCGGGTGAGCTCCTGCCACCTCCCCATCCGTGCCCCTGACAGCTGTTCCACCTCCAACCCAGCTGGGGACACCGCTCAAGTTCGTAGAACCCTCTCCTCCACCCCCACCTCCATCCCCACCCAGGTAGGGCAGGGAGGGGGCTGTAGCAGGGTGGCGGGGGGCAGGAGGGATTCTGGCAGCAGTGAAGTGGGATGGGGAGAGGCTGAGACCTTTCCCCAAGTCACCCCAGTGACAAAAGCTGAAGCCACAGGATGGCAGCCCTGGTGAAGGGGGCAGGTCAGCAGCCCCTGCTGACTGAATCCTCCCAATCGCTCGAGAGCGGGTCCAGCCCTACCAGCAGCAAGACCAGCTTCCCACGCCCATGTGCCTCAGCCCTTCCTGGTCAGTCGCCATCTCCAGTCAGTCCTTGGCCTCCCAGGCTGCCGGGGAAGGGAGCAACTCTCGATGGTGGCTCGGGTGACATGGACACTAGGCCATGGGGAAATGGGTGCAGCTCTCTGGAGCAGGAAAGGTTCCCAGAGGGCATTTAGGGGACTCTCCTGTCCTTTCCAGGAGTGATAGCAGAGCACCACATCCTAAGACGAGAAGTCCATGAAGTCCAGAAGTCCCCACTAGGCTCCTTGCTACCAGGCCAGGGAATGGCGATCGGATGGGAATGAGGCCCTGGGCCCCACCCCAAGCTCCTGAGTCGATTGCAGCTGCTTACCGTGACCCCCATCAGTTGCTGGGCTTCCCCCAGGAGGGAGTAGACGAGCACCAGCCCAGCCTGGCTGACACGCAGCAGGGGGTCGTGGATGGCCAGCACTGCTGTCTGCAGAAAGGATCTTTTCTGCCCGTCGCAGAAGAATTTTCCAAAGACCTAGAACCAAGAGGACACGAGGCTCGAGCAGATTGACCAGAGCCAGCCTCCAAGTCCTGGCCGTACAATGGCATCACCGTCTAGTGCCCCAAAGGGCGGGGAAGAGAGCTGCTGTGGCCAAGGCAGTTCATTCCCCAGGACTCTTTCAGGGTCCCAGGGCTCAGGGAAGCCCCTTTATGAAAAGGTCTGCAGGTGCTTAGGGACCAAAGCCTCCAGTGGCTCTTTCGGGAGGGCAATTTCTGGCAGGGGCCAGGATGGGCTGGAAATGGATCTCTAATGTGTGTGAGCAGGCCCACTCTGCTGTGCAGGGCACAGAGACGACAGGGGACCCTGTGTTGCTTCCAGCAGAGAGATCTCCTGCACCTCAGCGCCTAGAGGAGTGTGTGTGTGTTGTGGGGGGCGAGGGGGTTGGAGCTGACAGCCAAAGGTCTCTTCACCCCAGCTTAGTGATTTCTCTCGTCGCTGGGAATGGCCTCTGCAGCTCCTTGGTTTCTTCAAGGGGAATCCAACCTGCAGCCTGACAAGGACAAGGAGACTCATGGCCCAGTCCCCATCCCAGACACTCCTCGGAGACTTTTCTTCTGCTGCAGCAATTCAGCTTGTGGGAGGAGGGACAAGCTCACACAGTCTCTCTCACGGGGCGTCTGTGGAGCAGCGTTCTGTCGATGCCCTTGTCGATCCAGGAGCCACTCCAAGGCCTCCTCTGTGATGTTGTGGAAATCACCCATTTCACCTTTGACTCCAGTCTGGGGGCACTGTGTTACGGTGTGTTCGAAGGTTTGGATATTCTCTCCACAGTTGTGAGACGGGGGGCGGAGGGGTGGGGTTGATGTCTTTGATTTTCTACTTGTGCAGCAAGTAGCCACAACTTGGGTCAGTGACAATGTGTTTCTTTGGAACAGTGGCTGAGGTCCAGACACTCTGCCATTCCCTGGCCAGGTCTGGAGACATGAGCGGGGCGCATGTGGTCTATATTGGCTCTGGAGCTCACTATGTCCCCTACCAAGTTCCCAGGTTGGGGCATTCTCCTTCCTGACTGGCAATGGAATTGGGCAAAGCCCACCTCCTTTCTCTTCTTCTACAGAGTGCAGGGAATGAAACAAGGGTCTGATCAAGCAATCGTGACTGACTGACCCAGTGCTCTCCTCTCAGACACTTGGGGATCAGCCAGGGGGACAAGGAGCAGAGAGACACCCAGAGCCATAATCCTATATTAACTCACCCAGCCGGGGATCCTCCTTATGCCACGTAGCAATGCAGCCATGTAAGACACTCAAATCACGGCAACTAGCGAGGTTCCAATGTGCCCTTACCTCCCCCACTCTGGCTGTGTTCTTGTAGCCCAAGAGCCTGCTGTCCTGGTGCCAGTCATAGCACCAGAGATCTTCCGCGTCATGTATGGTCAGGCCTGGGAGAGAGAGAGAGAGAGAGACTTTTCTCCTCATTCTGGTTGCAGTTTCTGTGTCCTTCCAATCCCATTGGTGGCTCCACAGTGGAGTGGAGAAGACCAGAGGCAGAGAGAGACTTGTCCTCCAGCTGGGGTGAGTCTGAGAGAAATGGTCTGGGGTCCCATTATCCACCTGTTGTCACTCTCAGTCCCCTATTGGGTTCCGTGTCCCAGCTGGGTTCCTTACCCCTCTGTTGGAGCAGCAGCTGGTAGAGCCGGTAAGTCCCCTCCCTGGCCTGCCGGCTGATGTCCTTGTCTGGATCGCTGACAAATAGAGCCAGCTGGGCCACATGGTGCCCCATCTTAGGGAACTCGGCTGAGATCTAATGGAAGGGAGAGGAGAGGGGACTCCATCAGCATTTTCCTGTCAGCTCCCTGTCCCTGTCCCTTCTTGCGTCTGCACCTCTCATAAACTGTGCCCTTAATCTCGGCCCTGGAAACATTTACGTGCATGTTTAACTTTAATGACTGCTGTGAATAATTCCCTTTCAATGGGACAACTTTCAGGTCGGGTTTACGCTACGGCCCTATATCGGTGTAACTACGTCACTCATTTATTTAATTTTCTTTCTTTTATTTGTGAAAGTTCTTGAGAGCTTAAAGCAGGTAAAATACATGAACAGGTTGGGACAGTCCAAGTTTGTCGTGCAAAGTGACAGCAGAGATGTGGTATCTGCTAGTTTTCCATAAGTCCCTCAGGGTTACCCAGGACAAATTTGGGGATCTCTGTCTTGCATCGGGAATGTTCCCTGAAAGTGTCCAAACAGCTCAGAGATGCAGAACCATTCCCTGGATCCATTCTTATAGCTGTCTTCCGTGGAAAGCAGTCTGACAAGTGTTCCTGTCAGCTCTTTGCTAAGTTATCTGCCAAAACACGAGAGTTTTCAGGTGCCTAAGTAGCCCCTGGAATCATGGTGAAATTATCCTCCCTGCCACCACCAAAATTTGAAATGGTGCCCCTGAGTGCACGGGACCCTCCCATGCTCCCCCAGAGGAGCTGCATTAACAGGCAACTCTGCAAGTTCTCTGCATGCCTCTGCATCATCATGAAGATGATGAAGTACTTTCCAGTCCATTAGTAACTAAGGAGGTTGTTCAACACCATTTGCTAAGGATAAACTTTTTTCCATCAGCTAGTCTGAATAACTTCCAACCCAGAGCTCTTAAAGAGTTTCCTGAGGAGATCTCCACCCCAAGTATTAATTTTTTATGATTGTGGAATAACAGGGAAATTCCAGAAGGCAAGTGTTATGACCTGGGTAACTATAGGCCACTTAGTCTGACATCAATACTGGGCAAAATTACAGAAAAATTTGTTAATATAATTTATAAATAATTAAGGAATAGGAACATAATTAATGCCAGTCAACACGGCTTTATGGAAACTAGGTCTTGTAAAAAAACAAACAACCCTGATTTCATTCTTTGAAGAAATTAAAGATTTAGTTAATAAAGATAACTGGGTACATGTAATATGCTTAACACTTTTTAACTGCCTGGTATTCTGGTAACATTTTACTGCATGACAGTCTGGTAAAAAAATTAGCACTATACAATATCAATAAAGCACACATTAAATAAATAAAGAACTGGCTAAATGACAGATCTCAGGAAGTAGTTGTCAGTCGGGAAATCATCATCAAATGGAGGTGTTTCTAGTGCGGTTCCTCGGGGATTGGGTCTAGAGCCCTCACAATACTCAACATTTTCATCAGGGATCTGGAAGTCAGTATAAAATCACTGCTGATCAAATTTGAAGATGGCACAGACATTGACCGAGTGGTCAAGAATGATGAGGACAGGGTCGTCATCCAGAGTCATCTTGATCGCTTGGTAACCTGGGCCCGTTCAAATGTAATGCATTTTAATAAGGCCAAATACCAGGTTGTACATTGAGGACTGAGGAATGCAGGGCGTAACTAAGGAAAAGGTGGCCCAGAAAGCAGTGATTCTGAAAAGGATTTAGGGGTCATAGTGGAGAAACAACTCAACATGAGCTCCCAACGCGAGGCTGTGGCAAAAAAAGCGAATGGGATGCTTCATGCATAAATGAGGCAGGGGCGGCGAGTTGTATGGGCCCATGGTGACCGTGCTCTAGGAATATTCAGAGCACGGGGGCCCAGCTCCACCAACGTTCGGGGCTGGGTCTCTCCCCCTGCCCCGCCTGCCGCTCCCGCCGCCACCACCAGAGACACAGCAGGGCTAAAGCGGCTTCCTGCCCGCCCTCACTCCACATGACGCACCACTCCTGGAAGCGGCTGGCACGTCCCTGCGGCCCCTTGGCGGGTGGGGGTGTCTCCGCACGCTGCCCCTGCCCCAAGCGCCAACTCTGCCATCGGAACTGTGGCCAATTGGAGCTGCGGGGGCGGTGCCTGTGGGCAGTGGCGCACGGAGACCCCTGGCCCCCCTGCCTAGGAGCCGCTGCCAGAGGGGTGTGGGGGTCACTTTATGGAGCCGCCAGAGGTAAGCACCACACCCCTCTCCCGCATGCCAATCCCATGCCACAGCCCTCACCCCCTTCCCCACCTCAACCCCCTGCCCGGAGCCCACACTCCGCACCCAAACTCCCTCCCAGAGCCTGAACCCCAAACCCCCTCCCGCACCCCAACTCCCTCCCAGAGCCTTAGGCAGGTGTGTGTGTGTGTGTGGGGGAGACTTGGACCCTTTCTGGGCACCACCAAAAATTATACAAACCTGCTGCCCCTGAGCATCAGCATGGAGATGAATTTACCTCTGCATACGGCATTGGGGAGGCCAATCCCCGAATATCGGGTCCAGTTCTGGTAGCCACATTTTTAAAAGGATGTTGAAAAATGGGATCAGAGCCATAAAAATAATTTGAGGGTTGAAGAAGGTGCCTTGCAATGAGAGATGTTACAGACTCAATCCATTTATCTTAAAATGGGCAGGTGGGTAGATTTGGGTACCTTTGGGTAGAGAAAATACTGGATGCTAAAGGGCTCATTAATTTAGAGGGGGAAAGTATAGCAAGAACCAATGCCTGGAAATTGAAGCCAGACAAACGCAAACTGGACTTAAGGGACATATTTTTTTTTATCAGTGAGGATAATTAATCATTGGGACACATGACCAAGAAAGTGGTGGATTCCCCATCTCTTCCTATCAAGACTCGAGGCCTTTCAGGAAGATCTGCGTTAGCCAAACACATGTTATTGGCCTCAACATGGAAGTATCTGGGTGAAATTTTCTGAGCTGTGTTATATAGGAGCTCAGACTAAATGATCTAATGGTCCCTTCTGGCCATCAACTCTATAACTATCATGCCTTACACCTAGCATGGGCCCCCTTGAAGCGGTGAACCAGAAGGCTTGTGCCAGTGGCAGGGGTTCTAGGAGGTGGTGTGTTTATGCTATGGTGGATTTTAGGGGGTCGCCACTGATTCCGGGAGCTGGGCAGTTGGACTGTGTGGTTACAACTCTCAGAAGATGGTGGTAGATAGGAGGCAGGTGAACGGGAAATGACAGACAGAGGGGATTTGCCCTCCTAGACAAGGGATTTTTGCCACAGACACAAAGAGTTGGCAGTTCCGGGATGTGCTCCCTGTGGCACACAGGGTTGGGGAAAGAACACCTCAAAGAAGATTCCCAGGTGGACTCGGAGTCTGTTAAAGGCTATTTTTACTCATGACTCAAGACAAAGGACTCTGGGAGCTTGAGAAACTAAATTTGACTTTATTCTTTCTAAGCCAGAAATAAAAGCTAAACTCTCCTCCCCACACCCAGTACCCAGCTCAGCACGGAGCATTTTGGCCCCAGCCCAGCTCGGTGCTGTTCCCACTTCCCGCAGGCATCAGAAACGGAGCAATGTTGTACAGTGGGCAGAAAAATGCAGAGGATCCATTAGAGATGCCGGGATTCAGTCACAGAGAAGCAAACGCTTTGAGAGCTGGAAAGCCAGGGAGCTCGGGTTAACGGGAGCCAGAGAACGGCGCGGCACCTCCAATCCCGGCTGAGGGTTTTATCCCCCTGGGATGTCCTTGGCATGCGTGGGGTGAGTGTGACAGAGAGAGTGAGTCTCTGTCATCTCAGTAAAGGACACTGTAGAGAGGCGGTATGCGTGAGAAGCTTGGTTCACGGACTCCTCATTGCTCTCCTGTCTCAGTGATGGACGTCAGCTGGCCTCAGGGCCGGCCAGGCTTGTTGACTTCACTAGTTTCTTTCCTGTCTCTGCTCAGTCTCGTCCTCCCAGGAATCACTGATGCGCCCAAATCACTCCACAAGCAGTGTCATTTGTAGCCCTTTGGGATTCAGGGACAGTTTCACCCAGTGATCACAAGCTAGTTCCTGTCTCTCTCTGGCTCCTATGTAGCAAGTTAACAATTCTCAGCCTCGGCTGTGTGGCTCTCCAGAGAAAACCCTGTAGTTTCCCAGCCCTTTATCTCTCTCCTGACTGTATCTCCCGTCACTCCAGGGATCAGGCAGGAACTTCCTTCCCTGTTTCAGTCCCTGCCTCTCGGCCTGCAACTCTCACACTGGCCCCATCAGTGTTTGTGCTGATGGTGATGTATAATAATCATTGTTCAAATAACACTAAGATCTCATGGCAAAGGGTCGGAAAATGGTACAAATAAACCAAGAGCATTCTGGCAAATGGTCATTTGTCTTTTGGAGTCCCCACTAAATCTGCACTACGTCCTGTAAAACAAAACTAATATACTACTAGGTGACCAAACGGCCTTCAGCAAATAGAGAACAATCCACAATACAGGGTGGACTATAAGAAACTTTCAGGTTCATATATAGTGACATCCCAGAGCATGTTCCAGTTGATTCAAAATCAGGAGAACAGACTTACCCATACTCTCCTCTGAACTATCAACACCTGCTTCATTCGGCGCCTTCTTATCTTGTCATGCTGGTTACAAAAGTTTTAACACCATCCTAATGAAAGGAGAAAACCCAAATTCCCATCTGATGGAAACTGGAATTTAAGCTCAGAACGATCACACAGTGTGGGGGATTCATTTGAATTCTCCCCCCAGGTCTGCAGCCCACATGAGTCTGACTTAGCATGAATGAAAGCAAAGATATGTGCAGGGGCATTGGATTTTTTAAAATAAACTAAGGCCAGTCCTAGGGATGGAATTGATAGAATTTCTCTCCTGTGAGGAGTCTCTAATGTCAATTCCACTTGAAGCATTTTCCACATTAAAGATATTTAAGAGGTCTATTCCCTGTCTGACTTTCCTGATGCCTGATACAAGCTGACCCCAGCTGAAGCTTCTCCCATATTCAAGGTTTCTTTCCTCTGTGAATTCTCTGATGTCCAATATGGGTTGATTTCCGACTGAAACTTTTCCCACAGTCAAGGCATTTATAGGGTCTCTCTCCTGTGTGCATTCTCTGATGTTTAATAAGGGCCGTGTTGTCAATAAACCTTTTCCCACAGTCCAGGCACTTATATGGTCTCTCTCCTGTGTGAGTTCTTTGATGTGAAATTAGATTTGAGTTCCAGCTGAATGTTTTTCCACACTCGAGGCATTTATAGGGTTTCTCTCCTGTATGCGTTCGCTGATGTGAAATTAGGTATGAACTCTGATTGAAACTTTTCCCACAGTCCAAGCACTTATAGGGTTTATCTCCTGTGTGAGCACTCTGATGTGAAATAAGATCTGAGCTCAGAACAAAGCTTTTCCCACAGTCAAGACATTTGTAGGGTTTCTCACCTGTGTGGGTTCTCTCATGCCTAATAAGATCTGAGCTCTGAATGAAGCTTTTCCCACATTCCAGGCATTTATAAGGTTGTTCTCCTGTGTGGGTTCTCTGATGCCTAATAAGGTTTGAACCCTGATTGAAACCTTTCCCACAGTCAAGGCATTTATAGGGTTTCTCCCCTGTGTGGATCCTCTGATGTGAAATAAGGTTTGCGGTATGACTAAAACCTTTCCCACAGACAAGGCACTTATAGGGTTTCTCGCCAGTGTGGATCCTCTGATGGGAAATAAGATTTGAGCTCTGACTGAAAACTTTCCCACAGACAAGGCACTTGTAGGGTTTCTCTCCAGTGTGGACCTTCTGATGTGAAATAAGATGTGACCTCCGAATAAAGATTTTCCCACACTCGGTGCATGTGTTTTTTTTCTGCTCTCTGGGCATTCTCTGCTGGGCTGTAGTTTCCTTGAGGTCCTTGCAATCTCCACCATGATTTCTGGGTTCACACGTTTTCTTCCCTGGGTTGCATCCCAGAAGCCTCTCTGACCTGCGCTGATTTCCACAGGCTTTTCCTGGTTTACGATTCTCATAAAACTCCCCCTCAGATCTTCCCAATACTGTTTCCTGCAGACCCACGTCCTCACCACCTTCCCACTGTGGATTCTCCTTCTCATTCACCATCTCAGCACCCCCTGGAATACAGAGAGAGAATCCAGACAGCAGTCATCCCCCGTGCCGTGGAGAAAGGAACGAAAGGGGAACAGCAAAGAGGGGAAACAGAACACAACAACTGCGGGGAGACTGAGAAAGGGAACATTTACTAACCCTTCTGTAATTTTTCCTTCTGTGAAGTGGGTCCCTGGTGCTCCATGATCCATTAAAACTGGGATGTTCCTGATCATCGTCTGAGCATAATGGAGCTTCATTCTTTTACACCCTCTCTCTCTCTCACTCTAGCTTCACATTGTGCTGCACCAGGGACAACAACGGCACCCCAAGGTGAAGCCAGGAACAGAGGTTTTAAAAATAAAGAAAAAATGGAGCCTCCATACTTGGACGAAATAACCTAGTTCTAACAGACAACACAGAGCACCAGGGGCCCACAAAGGAGAAACTGGATTCTGCCTCCACATCCCTTCCAAACACCCTGGGGGAAGTAAAGTCGGGGAGGAAGCTCCTGACAGATTTCGGTCAGCATGGGTGAGTGACATCTGCCCCAAGAATGGAACTGGTCCCAGGAGGGGAGCGGAAGAGAAGAGACATGAATGAATACAGACAGGACAATACAATGCTTCTGCCACCTCAAAGGATGCAGGGATGGAGATGAATTAGGTCTCCCTTGTGTTTCAGACTCTCCTATCCCATGGCTGGGGGAGTGGAGATCAAAGTCTGTCAAACAAATTGTCAGGACTATGAGGTCATTCCCCTGAAATCACAGGGTCTGTCTGCACAGCTGCTGAGAGGTGTAATTCCCAGCTTGGTGGATGGACAAGAACTAGCCTCTAACAATGGCAGGGTGGCCAAGGCAGCATGGGCTGTGGCTCGGATTAGCCACCTGAGTACAATCCTGCCCTGACCCTGGGCATGTACTCAGGAGGCTAGCCCTAGCCACTATCTTCCTGAGCTGGGAATCCCACCTCCCAGATGCCGTGTAGACGTAACCTAAGGGACTTGGGAAGAACCTGAGCAGAAGTCAAACTGGCCACATCATAGACCCCCCCCCCAGCTTCTAATAACCATGGGGACAGAAATCCTTTACCCAGCGAGGTCACCGTCTCGTAATTCTCCTGCATGACGTCCCTGTAGAGGGCTCTCTGAGTGGGGTCCAGCAGAGACCCCTGCCCCTCACTGAAATACACAGCCACCTCCTCGAAGGCCGGTGCTCCTGAAACAACAAGAGTCCCCCACTCAGTACCTGCTGCCCCAGCCACAATCCTACCAGTCACGGGGCTGAAGGGTCAATAAAAAGTAAGTTCTGTGGGGGCCAGAATAGCAGCATCCCACCTCCAGCCTGCTCAGAGCAGCCAAGAGGCTTCAGAAGGGGAGAGATTTCCTTGTCCCTCCCAGCCGGTGGAGGAGGGCAGGGTCATCTCATTTATCACACACCTACTAGCCAGAGGCTGATACAGGAGGCAGAGCCCTCGAGCAGGGTCCAAGGACAGGAATCCCAACCCCTTCCCCATTCCCAGCAGCTGGGGGTGAGGGGACAGGGCCTCTCCCCTGGGCCTCACTGGTATGTGCCCCCTTCAAATTCCAGAGCAGCGTCTGGCTAGTGGGTTCAGGCTCTAGCACTGGGAGTCTGGTCCATTTTCCCAGCCCTGCCCAGGGGGTTTCTTTCCCATTCCAGAAATGGGGGAATTTCCATCCCCACAAAGGGCCTGTTCTGAACATTATGCCACAGACTGAACGTGTCCCAGCAGGTTTGCCCAACTCTGTCACCACCTCCCTGACTGTGTATTTCCTGCTCCAGCCCTTCTAACACAAACCCACCAGCAGCCCCCTGAAACTCCCCTCTCTGAAAGGGTTTCCCATCCCCCAGCAGGATGTGTTGTAGTCACTGGGATCTGGCAGTCATACCCCAATGGGGAGCTCCATTTTCAGAAAAGAGTGAAAGTTCATACAAAGTTACAATCACCTCTAAGAACAAATGTTGCTAGGAAAAGGTACCCAAAGGAGACAGTCTGGGTCAGCACAAACAGAAAGGTCCAAATAGTCATTGGAGGAGTGGACCTGAAACCTGGGTTTCCTAAAACCCAGATGAGCACCCTGCCCCAGGGCTGGAGTCAGTCCCACTCTCTCTCACCCACCACATATGTAACCATTTATACATGGTGGAACAGTTTCAAAGGGAGAGACTGGGGGATGTACCCCATAGCCTTATGCGCCAAACTCCAGGAGAGGGTTCAGGGCTAGGAATCACTCAGCGGAGATAGCCATCTAAGTCCCTTTGCGGGGCAGGGGCATATGACCCACCCCTCTCCACAGCATTTCCCATTGGCTAGCTCAAGCAGCTCCCCGGTCAGCAAGCTGTGTTTTGTGGATCCCATTTTTAGGTGCTTAGCTCTGCCCAGGGATAATATACGGAGCCTAACTCAGGGCTGTGGATTCACACCTAAAAGTAATACTGACATCTCTCAGGTTTCAGAGTAACAGCCGTGTTAGTCTGTCTTCGCAAAAAGAAAAGGAGGACTTGTAGCACCTTAGAGACTAACCAATTTATTTGAGCATGAGCTTTCGTGAGCTACAGCTCACTTCATCGGATGCATACTGTGGAAACTGCAGAAGACATTACATGCACACAGAGACCATGAAACAATACCTCCTCCCACCCCACTGTCCTGCTGGTAATAGCTTATCTAAAGTGATTATCAAGTTGGGCCATTTCCAGCACAAATCCAGGTTTTCTCACTCTCTCCCCCCCCCCCCCCCACACACACACAAACTCACTCTCCTGCTGGTAATAGCCCATCCAAAGTGACCACTCTCTTCACAATGTGTGTGATAATCAAGGTGGGCCGTTTCCTGCACAAATCCAGGTTCTCTCACTGACATCTCTGTACATCTAGCCCTCAGTGATTTTCCCCATCAGTATCTGGAAGACACTCGTACCCTAGTTACAGAGGAAACACTTGGATTCTCAGATATCATGGGGACATTTGATCATTGGGGAATTTAATCCCCACCCACCCACTCTCCATTTGGTGTCACGGATTTTTAAAGCCAGAAGGGGGAGAGACCATTGAATTTAGAAAATCTAGTCTGACCTCCCGAACTCAAGAATTGGAGAACCCACCGCTTCCCTTAGTAGTTTTTTTCCAGTGGTTAATCACCCTAATTTTCCATTTGAATGTCTCTGACTTTCAGCCATTCTTTCTCCTTGTGTCTTTCTCTGCTAGATTCAAGGAGCTTTTAGAACCTGATATTTTCTTTTCATAATCAAGTCAATGACTCAGCTCAATATTTCTCCTTCAAAACGGAGGAACTCTTATCTAATTTTAAAATTAGAATGCAAGTATCAGTGAATTTTGAGATTTGATATTACTATTCGACAACTGAGACAAAATTAGGGAAATATGAGAGGATTCACATGTCAGCTAATTAGAAGGGAGAAGGCAAAAAAAATTTTCTTAATAGTGGTTATTTAGAGAAATAAGTAAGCACATTTATACAGATAACATATTAATCTATAAATAGAGAAACTGAACACATTTTGAGGGGATTTTATATCAAAATCTGGCAAGTGAGAAAAGAGGAAAAACCAGTGGAGGGGTTCCAGAGCAATAGTTTTCTAATAGAGAGAAAACGGGCTAGATTAGTGGTGATTGTATTGCTATATTTATACACAGGCTTGACAGAATTTGATTTTTTTAATCATTTCAATGGATAATATCAATGTTTGTAAGTAGAAAAGGAGGACTTGTGGCACCTTAGAGACTAACCAATTTATTTGAGCATGAGCTTTCGTGAGCTACAGCATCCGATGAAGTGAGCTGTAGCTCACGAAAGCTTATGCGCAAATAAATTGGTTAGTCTCTAAGGTGCCACAAGTCCTCCTTTTCTTTTGCGAATACAGACTAACACGGCTGTTACTCTGAAACCAATGTTTGTAAGGATTTCTTTTTGATTTTTTTTTTATTTGAATGTTCCCAGTTCCAGGAAGTTATGGGGTGGGTCAGACAATAATAATTTCATGACTGTAGACATGGGGACTCAAAGAGTTAAAGCTTTATAGTAATTAAAACAGAAATAGTCAGCATCACATGTCAAAATATACCAATATATATATATTTATCTCTCTCCTTAAATCACACTGCAAGACATTCTCAAGCAGCTTTTTCCTTATTTTGCCTAACTGTACATTTTGATTATTATTCATGGAAATGCTTTTTCATCCATTTGTGTGTGTAGGGTGAAACTAACGTTTACCCCCCAAAATCTCATCCTCCCAAGCCTATCTATATAGAACAGATTTATATCAATATAACCCACACAAACTACACTAAAAGCATAATGACAGGTTTCAGAGGAACAGCCGTGTTAGTCTGTATTCGCAAAAAGAAAAGGAGTACTTGTGTACTCCTTTTCTTTTTACACTAAAAGCATGTCATTAAGCCTGTCTTGCACTCATACATTAGTGCTGTCGTCATCATGACTAGGTCGGAATATGAACAAGAGGCTGCTAGGCAGCTCTCCAACACCACTTTCCACAAGCCATTACCCTCTGATCCCACTGAGGGTTACCAAAAGAAACTACACCATTTACTCAAGAAACTCTCTGAAAAAGCACAAGAACAAATCCGCACAGACACACCCCTGGAACCCCGACCTGGGGTATTCTATCTGCTACCCAAGATCCATGGAAATAACCTGGAAATCCTGGACGCCCCATCATCTCAGGCATTGGCACCCTGACAGCAG